CCTTAAATGCATGTTTTTTTTCAATTTAGAATAATTTCACAATAAAAACAAATTTTTAGATGGAGTTGGGAGAAGAATAGAAAAATTTTGAGCAATTAAACATAAAAAGATAGAGATCCAAAGATATGCGAAAATTCACTTTTTCGATCCTGATAAAAGTGGAAAATTATTTCATTATTCTCGCATAGCTATTTCTACCTTTGGATCTTTATTTATTAATATCCTGAATTTTCGTTTGAAGGAACGTACCAAGAACTTTCAAATTTTATCGAAATTTTGAAAATAGAATTGCTAACTTTACGCAGAAGTCAGCCGAGAAGAAAGCGATTTCTGAGGTAACTAGCATACGTAATGTGAGAGGATTTGTTATCGTTATCACAGGCAATAATGTGAAAGTTGAGAGGTCGTGTCGTCTGCGTACGCAGGGGGTCTTCGATAAACCCGGCGACCCTCTGTTTTCGCGGAAAATTTCACGCGCAAAAAGCCAGAGACAACTTTCCAGTCTCCCCGGATGACGAAGTCACAATTTTACTGCTGCAAACGGAAAGGCGAAGAAACAAAACAAATGGGGCAAGCGGCCAAATAACCGTTTCTTTAACTGCGCTTCGCGATCTTTTTCCTTTTTTCCCTTCTCAATTTGATTATGCTCGATTTATTAAAAAAAAAAAAAAAAAAACTGTGAAAGAGTAAAAGAGCTGCAGATGGAAATTCCTGTGAATTCATCGGATCACGTGTATTACCAAACTCGCGTGTACACGAGCGACGCGTGCACGTGTATAAGGATCGAGAACCACTCGTGTATGCGTAATTCAATATCCCGGGTTTGAACTTGTCTGCTTTTTAGCAGAATGTTCTACATCGGAAGCGACTTTTTAACATCTTTTCTTTTCCCTGTAATGTGGCAAAGGATGGTGCAACGACGCAAATGAAAAAATTGAGAACGTTAAGCGTAAAAAAAAATTATAACACAGTAGAGAGAGAAGAAATACATAAAGGAATAAATTAAAACAAACTACTTAATTAAGAATCGACATAACCCAACGTCATGATTCTTTTGCATTAAAGAGATAATATTCAAAAAGGTACAGATAGAAATTTATTCTGAAAAATTAAATGTCTATCTTATCTCACGCGAAATTACACGTGAGGGGAAGGGCGGAGGGGGGGGGGGGAAGGAAAGAGAAATAAATATAATTTCTCACTTATTTTATATATAAGATACGTAATGAAATATGATGCCTTCGTAAAAATTTGATTTTTTTTATATTACATGAAAAAAAGAGCACAAGGGCCACAAGGTTGAGCACCAGTATAAGATTATACAGCTTCAATATTCTCCAAATAAATTTAGAAAAAGCCTCTTGATCGCCATCTAACGGACGATTATAAGAAACTATGCGTTTGATAAGACAGAAAACTGTATAATTATTAAGCAAAAAACTAGTTAATTAATTTTAACGTTTAACGTTTAATCTTTTCATTTAAAGTTAATGTATGTAACAAATAAGATATAAAAAAAGTAATTTTTTTATATCTCTATTACATATGTAATAAAAATATATTTTATTATATATATATATATATATATATATATATATATAAAATAAAAATATAATTTATTAAATTTTCGTCTTTTGTGTGTATAAAATTTTACGTGTAACAAAAAAAATATATTCTGTTATTTATATCTAAATATAAAATCATACTTTATTTGCTATTTTTATTTTTAAAACAATAATATGTACGCACATATATATATTATATATATGAGTATATATACATTTCTTTTAAAATAAAAATATCAAACGAAATATACGATTATATGATACAATTCTTTCCTTAATTAATTATATAATGTCATAATTATTCTGTATTAACATTAAAACTCTCCCTTTTTAAACAATAACTTCGTCAATTCTTATCGTTGATAATGAACCTGCCAAAGAACCCAAATGATACCCTTCGGTGGCGGCGAAGAAGCGTTTCTCTCTGCTGCACATACCTATCTTTTCTTCGTCTATCACACATATAGCGAGAGATACTCTTTATCTGCACGATTAGTGCACGTGCGAGACGTATACTTAATACCACCACCACCGGCATCGTCCCGACACACGTCGAGTTCTCGGGAAGAAAGGCGATAGCCGTCGCGGATCCAATTTTGTCGGTAGATCGAGTTTCGTGCCCTTCGTTGTGCGTGTTAGTATAATATAATAATAGAGTCGCGGGGCCGCGCGCGCGCGCGACGGTGGGGCAACAACGATAAGGAGCGCGCCCGCGTCTCTCATGGGATCCTTCCGAGAAGATCCTCGCTTTCGTCTGAAGCGCTGATTCATCCCCGCGAGAAGATCGCGGATTATCGCGAGAATATGCAAAGAGTAGGCGGATTGTTAGCGGAATCAACAGCGGGAATTGATTCCGCGAAATTAAATACGCGACTCTCGAGATGATTCTTCGTGTTGTGTGTTCCCGCTTTTCTCGCTCATCACATTTTTAACGGGATTAACGGGTAGTAGCGGCGCAAAAGTAATATAAATGTAACAAGATTAAGGAATCTTGGTGTCTATAAAACGCAAAAATTTTTTTAATACTTCATTAATTTTATATATATAAAATTAAGGATTTAATAAGTTAATATTATAAATTAAGGATATTACTTTATTAATTTTATATTATAAAATTAAGGATATTAAAAGATTAAGTAATATGATTCTATAATTATAATTTACTATCCTCTTCGATTTCTCATGTTTAATACTTAATTTTACAAAAACAAATGATTCTCACAATTCACTTTGAATGTTTTTATGCCTACATTTATCTGAATCAAAAAGAGAGATAAATCACATTTAATAATGTATCGAATTCGTGTTTTCAGATATAATACTAAAAATTCAAGAGTTATTACAACGTCATTAAGTTGCGCTACCTTTTTCAGGCGCATTTTAAATGCTTTTTATAAATTGTCGAAACGAAATGAACTTTTTATTCCCTCGGGAAGATTCCCACGGACAAAGAATCTCGGACCGATCGGGGCCCCGAGAATGAGCGTATAATACGCGAGGAAAATTCCGTTACGTAAAAGATTTCGCTTTGCAAATGTAGCATTTCCGTCGCCGTGTCATCGTTAATTCGTTCGTATCGCGCGAACCGAACAAAGATCGACGGATGAAAGTGCCGAGGGTCGCTCTCTGCGTGTAAAAGAGGGCAAGCGTGATCTACGCGCGATCTCGCCGGTTCGTTACTCATCAGGAATGCCGGAGTATCCGAATATCCGTGAGAATCCACGCGCGCGAATTTTGCGTCGTGCACATTAAATTAAATCTACACGCGTCACGATCGTCGAATACGCGATATCGCACGCATCGGTCACGCGGCGCCGGTCCGATCCGGGCGCGTGGCCGCTTGCGAGCGCGCGCTCACCGACGAACGAGCATTTCCTGCCTCTTGTGAGACATTACCGTAAAAGCACAACGAGGGAAGTGCTCGCTTTTACTTACATATATCAAGATAACTTACATATATCAAGATAACCGATTAATTTAGGGACTCGCCTCTGTTCTGAATTTCACGCGTATTTCTCTATATCTCGTCGCAATTTCTCGCGAACGTCATATATTGTATACCTTGCGCCTTGTATATCTTACAAGCGATTAGATAAATAATCTTGTTAATCTCTCTTCTGCAGTGGAGTGTGTAAAACATAACGATACAGCGGAATAAAGCGTGAATTAGAAAGCGATGCACAATAACATTGATTTTCTATGATTGAACAGTGCTATTTATGAAAGTGGAATTAGAACAGTAGAAAAAAAAATGACGCAAGAGTTTTAGGATTATTTTTTTTTTATATCGACGTTCGTAAATTGATATTCCACTTTCTAAATTTATATTTGTCTAAGCTTCCCACGTAGCAAGCTAACATTATTTGCCGTTATTTCAACGTTAAAATATCGCCAAAAATATCATTTTAACATAAAAATAACGGCAGACAATGTCAGCTTGCTACGTGAGAAGCTTATCCAAATATAAATTTAGAAAGTGGAATATAAATTCCTTTTAATTCTGCTTTCCACAAAATTTCATTATCGCATGATATTAACGGACGAATCGAAAATATAATACTGCGAAAATATAATACTGTTGGGCTTTTAGTAATATTACGTGCAGCAAAAGAGCGATTGATTGTGTGTCGATCAATGTATGATTTATTCAATCAACGTTCTTCTCTTTCGTTCTGACGTGATTGAATAAATCAAATCAATCATATATCGATTAGCGATCGTCTGTTCTTTTGCACGCAATATCACCGCAAGAGTTCTTCCTCGTCCGCGTTTCCCTTAGAATTAAGTTCTTTATTCTGCACACGATCTAAACCGCACGATCGTGTTATGCAGTGTGTAATAATGATACTTCATCGACATCCCATAATCTCGACGTCGATATATTTTTTTTTGCTTTAACCTTGAGACCGTCGCGTCTAAAAATATAACGGTTGCATGGTTGTATTTTGTACAACGTGCGTTATTAATTATTTTTTTTTTAATTAGAGCCTTTCTGTAGTCTAATTATCCAATTGATATGCGAAACAGCAGAAATATTGATGTCTAATTGTAATACTTTTTCTGAAACAGTTGCGCCTCATTGTCTTGCTTCAATTAAGAAAAGAAGGAGGAAGGCCATTGAGCTTTTCAGGCGTACGTATAGGCTATTTACAGAAAGCGTCGCGTTTTTTGCGGAACAGCGTCGCCTTTTTGAAACTTAATATTTTCAAAATAATCAATAGTAATAATATATATTGGCCAATTTCTATAACGTTCCGCCGCCCCATTATGATCATTATATTCCGCCGTAAATTGAGAAGCGAATTTGGAGCCGCGGGTTTAAAATAAGGCTAAAATTAGGCTAAAAATAAGAAACGCCGCCGGCGGCGGGGGAGGACGGGGGGGGGGGAGAAGATGATTAGGGCGGGCAGCGTCAGCAATGTATTGTGCGCCTACCTTTATTAACGTCGAATTTGGCGTCCGCGAGACGACGTGCGTCGCGAAGAAGGACATTCCGCACGGCGTCCGATGTGGGCGCGAAGTCCGGATCGTCCGCGTCGAAGGACACGCTCTCCTCGAATTCCGTCAATGTAGTCGACACCTCCGTCACGCCTCGCCGATACATCGTGAGGACGAAGGACAAATCTCGGCGGAAATCTCGACTCTCTAAAACATCGCAAGCAAAGGCCGTGTGTAAAATATATCGCGTAAATACTTGTGGAATCGTAGAAAATTCAAAATCGCTTCTGTTCACGCGCCACGGGTCGTCGTTTTGCGACACAGAAGGATTACATAAAATACGACATGCACCCCCTTCTTTTTTACTCGCGCACGACTCTACAATTGCTCGGGATACTCATTCATCTCGCGCAAAATCCACCGTGCGATCGTCTCGACGACACTTTCGCCGCGGTTCAAGCTGGCAGGCCGACTGAAGTTGGCGGAGTTACACGTAGCGCGACTCCCAGGATTATGCAAATTGCGCAGCGATACCTAATTATTACCTGTAACGTATGGTGCGAACGTACGTCACAGCTGACATGCCCCTCAGACCAGCTTATCGTTTGTCGACATTCATTATCGGTTTCACACGAAAGATATATTTCGGACAGCCGTGTGTGTGTGTTTGTATGTATGTGTGTGATGAGAGAGACGCTCCTTCTCTCTCTTTCTCTTTCCGTCTCCCTCTTTTTCGTAGATCCGCGCGCGACGACAAGCGGTAGTCGACTGACACCTGACGTGCGTTATCGCGCGGAAAAATCGTCACGCTTATACGAATGTCGGCGCGGCCAACCTCAGGACGATGTCACGAAGTTCAGCTGCTTCCTCCCAGCTATATGTATATACTTCTCATTTTTCTTTCGATGTTTACTGATTTGCGATTTGCGACAAGAGCGAGTAGTTTATCCTCAAACCTTTATCTATTTTTAACTCTCTTAAATCCATGTCTGCAAGTAACGCAGAGAATTTAAAATTATACAATTCGTAACTTTGTAATGTATATTGCTGATTGTGAGTTTCGAAAACGTGAATTTTTCAAGGACTGTGTAGTACGTCAGGATGTGCATAGTGAGAAAGTAGCACAGGTAACGTAAAAGTTTTGTTTAATAAAATAACTTTACAGTGTGCACTATATGGTATGCACTCGACGGCGACTTAACTTAAATATCACAATTTGTGGTCGCTCGATTATCACGAAAAAAAAAACGAGGAAAAAGAGGGCTTTATCTGTAGGGCTGTAAGGAACTTTAGATAAAGAATATATCACAGAATAGAAAGAAAAACGGACAGCTTTGTTTCGTACATGTACGCATTATATATATATTTCTTACAAAAATAGAATCTTTCGGTTATCACTTCTGTGGAATTATACGAAGTTCAACGATTGATAATGAATCTTACATATGTATATGATAACATTAAATCGATTGAAAAGTTCATGTATGTCTTTTCCTGCTATTGTCTTTGTTATTACCATATATAAAAGTCATACGAAAAAATATGAAAAAAATTCTTTGGTCAATTTAATTAAACATTTTTCTGTTAGCGCATTATAATGAAAATTTAACAAAGCTAAATGCTTACAGGAAATGTATTGTTTTAGAAATTTATATATTATTTTATTATAATCTAAATTATATATTTAATATAAGTCTAACGTTTCGGCTATCTTTTTAGAACTTTAGACTTTTAGACTAAAGTAAATTTTATATAAATTAAATTTTGCGTATCAATAACCACGCCGATTCCCTCTGCCTTACTTATTGTATTTTTAATTCGAGTAATCTTGTTAGGTTTATATTGTTTTTAATATTTGTATTACTATTTCATATCGGATGCGTTTATCCGTTCCTCGTACGCGTTCCAAAGTTCTCTTTTGTATTCTAAAGTGGCCTTCAGATAACCGTGACGTGTCTCCGTGATACCCCTGCCAACGACTGCTAAATCGGCACCTGCATCGATAACTGATTGCGGATCTTTGTATTGCTGGCCTAGTCCGTCGCCTGCGCTTTTGACCAGCTTGACACCGGGTGTCAATTGGAGCAGCCCGGGTTTCGCCGAGAGATCAGATTGGCACACGAGACCTACCACCAAATCGGAGGCTTCCTCCGCCATTGAAACGGCGCTCTTCAGATAATCGCCGGTGGTCAATGCACCTTCGGACGACATCTCGGCGACCAAGAAAATGCCACGTGGCTCGGTGATGCTCTCGAGACCTTTCTTCAGCGCGTCGATGACGGACGCACCCGATACCGGATGTACCGTGATCAGGTCGGCCCATTCGGCGATCTTGAACAAGCCGTGTCTGTATTGCAACAACACCGTGTTGCCGATATCGCCAAACTTGCGATCCTCCATCAACAGGAATCTATGCTGCTTCGCCAGTTCTTTGAGCCGAAGAACGAACCTGTCATTGAAGTTCTCTATGATATCCACATGAATTTTCAGCACGGCGATATGAGGTCCCACTTCGTTTGCCAAGTCCAAAATCGCGCCCGTTCTGTTCAGGTCGGCCGCCAAGCAAATATTAGTTTGCTTCGATTCCATCAGATCCAACAGCTTTGAGGCCAATGGATTCGTCGTTAATTTTGCACGTTTGCCGTATGACAGCTTCAATCTGTCGTCTGGCACGCCTACAAGTAAAAATTACGGATATTAAGATAAAAATTGGAATATAGCACTTAGCGCGTAAGTCATAAAATATCTATTACAAATAATTTACCTCGGACAGAAATGCTCGGTGCCCGATTCATCGCCAAGTAATCGTCAACATTCTTGACTATCTCAGGCGTGATCTTTTCAGCCTCGAGGAGGTACTTCATGAGTTGCGTAATCACGAATAGACACTTAACTTTGATCCCGTGATTCTCGAGGTTCTTTCTGCCACCCTGCTCCCTGTCGATCAGCACATAAGCCTCTGTCACGCTTAGATTTTCCTTTTTCAAGGCGTCGACGGTTTCTAGAATACTGCTACCACTCGTAATAACGTCCTCAATGATCACACAGGTCTCACCGGGCAGGTAAACACCCTCAATTAACTTCTTCGTGCCATATGACTTCGCTTCTTTTCTCTTCATAATCATGGGAATCCCTTCCTCAGCCGATATCAGAGTGGCTAGTGGCAGTGCTGTGTACGGGACACCGCAGATTCGGGACACCTTCATCGGGTCATCTTGCAACGTCCACAAAGCTTTCGCCAACTTCAACTACAATAAAAAAAATTAATATTACATACGTGGAAAAAAACCATGTACATTTCATGGTGTAAGAGTGACTTCTACTAAACTTCAATTAACTTAATTGGCAGAATCGCTTACAGCAAAATTTCTGATTAATATAAGCTTTGTTGCCTCTAATTTTTCTCCATGTCAAAAAATTAATATTTTTATTTACCTTAAAAAAGTAGTGTTACTTAATAAATTAACCGATTAAGTTAATCAAAGGTTAGTCAAAATCATCAAAATGTTCACATATACTTACCATCAATTTCGGGTAAGAAATTATTATACGCAGGTCAAAATATACCGGCGTTTTTAGGCCAATTTTTGTCTCAAATTCTCCAAACTTCACGGCCTCTATATTATACAGTTCGACGGCTAATTCTTTCAAGGAGGCTTCCATTTCGACTGTAATCATAGCGACGTATTAAAATAGCCTCCGTGTACTAAGCTAAACCTGTCAAACATTTGCCGGCGACTGTCGAGATAAGTAGCTCTCAAATGTAATTCGATGAGCAAACTTGATTTTTTACTTGAGTTTTTAATTCACTATAGTATAATAATTATCCTTAAATAATTATTTCTACAGATGCATTTTTTGGAGATTTTATAGGAAAAAACGATTACGATATTAAGCGATGAGTGTCGGTCCACAATAAGGCTTTTAAGTCTTACACCATAAAATATTGATCAATCAATTATTCTCTTCATATTCGACTATAATTGGCCTATTTCTTACTGCTTATAGGGCTTAAAATCCTTATTGTGGACCGACACTAAGATAGAGTTTTAGAGAAAAAGAAGGAGAAATGTTAAAACCAAAATGTAACCTACATCTTTTGCGATTGCTTGAGCGAGTCACGTGTCGCTTAACTCAAGTTAACTGAACTAGAGGGAGGAGAGGGAAGGTGCCGATGTGCTCGTTTTAGTACATGGAATTCATCCGTTGGCGCCTCTATGCTCACAAAACATGCACGTTGAACTGTGTAGCCATATAGATATTTTCGGTGGGTAACACAGCTACGATCTTTGAATTTTTTTATTCATTGTTACGTAAAATACTGATACGATTGTTTAATTCTATTTTGTACGTGCTATGTTCACAGAATATAATATTGAGTAATGTATTATAAAAATAAAAACTGAAAAATAGAATAATTATAATATGTCTTATTTAATGTATATAAAATATCATTAAAATTATTACAAATTATTAGACTAAATTATTAGAGACAACTAGATTGTTATAAAGGAGCAGGAGGCAATGAATTACACGATGTAACGTTACATTTACAGTAACACAAATATATTTCACTTTTATTCGAAAACAACAAACACATCTCTAGAGATCGCGGCGCGATCCTCGCGCGATCGCAAAACGCATACTTTGCAAGTGTCCATATGTGTATGTGTTTGTGCGTGTTGGACATTTTATGTCTCTCATCAATATACCCGCTTAAGTATGCTAATATAATATTAATAACCACGATCTCTCCTGATTTGTGCTCGCAAAAACGATTAGCGAAATGTATGTATACGAGATGTTGACGTAAAACTTAAACATAATAAATGAATGTTTAATAATGATAATTATTATTACATTCGGTAACATATATTTATCGAACATGTCTCGAACTTTTTTCATGTTCCTAAATTTTATTTTCTAGCTTATTATTGTTAGTCAATTACAAGGTGCTTTTCACTTTTCGTTTCCCTATTGGTTTTTGCACACAAATCAGCATGCGATTAATAGTTGCAAATAAAATTTTAATAATCGGTAATATCAATGTTGCAACTGATAACAATCCCTTTAAATAATTATCGTTAAAAAATACGGTAATACAAGCTGTTATGAGTCTTTACATGGGAAAATTCATATTCTATATACGGCGTAACAAAAGTTTTACAAAATGTTCTAAATTAAGCTGTGCAATCATCTAAAAATTCTCTGCCCTTTTTTTTTGCTTGGAGTTTGACAAATATTTGTACGTATAACAAAATTGCGGGTATGTGTCTAAAAACCCTTACAGTTCCTCGAAGTGAAAATATTTATTAGATGTTCACCGAAGGAACGGTTTTGTTGAGGTACTTAAAAATTTTACTAGACACAGATCTGAAAATAATTAAGTTGGACCATCAAAATACATATGTAGGTCGCTCGAGCACGACGATAATGCCGTAAAATGTTTCAACATTCTAGCAATCAGTTTGAGCGTTTAATACTCATGGTTATTTTTGAATCTGTTCTAACTCAATTTTCAGATACTTCATCAAAACCGTTTTTACATTTTGTATTCATTTGTCACTAATATCCATTGCCTTCGACATGTGTTTCTTCGACGAGTACACACTTTGTAGGCCGTTAAATAGTAAAATAAATCTTTCGGCATTTTGGCTGTTAAAAAAAAATCCGTTATGATAATCTTCTGTTCTTAAGGCTTACATTGAATCTGCGTACCGTGGATTCTTCGTATTATTTGAGCCGCTGGTGCACCGCATTTTTAATGAATGATCATTAACTTATTAATGATACAATCTTTTAAATTAATTCAAATTGAATTAATATTTATTACAGATTTTCATTATATAAACTAGTTTCTTGATGCTTTGATACTAAGAATCCTTGGTACAGACGCTCAGTAATATTCTCATTAGTTCGAAGAAAGAGATGATTAAGTCCGCGACTTGTGAATTGCATTTCAAACGTAAAACCGTACTATTTCATTTATACTAATAATTCATTTGAGATTATATATATTCAAAATAATCTTTACAAGATTTGGACATGGGGCGGCAATCACAATCGTTTCTCGGCGAATAAGAATGTTTTGTTTATATATGCATGTATGCACATATGTATAAATAAAGCAAGTAACAAAAAAAAGGAATGTGTTACTAGACATTACATAAAGATTCTTTTTTGTACAAAAAAGAATATAAGTATAAATAAATATAATATTCATTGAGAATTTATAAACGGCTGTGAATACCATCCAGTCTCCACTTTTGCTCCTAATACGTTATACGTCAATGGACATTCCACATGGAATCCATATATTACATTCGACTAGATTAAATAAGTCTCTACTGTCCTTTTTTCCCCACTTTTTGTCAGTTTACAGCGTTTTCGTGTCTTCGCTCTGAGCGATCACTTTCAAACTCTAACGCTTATGAGATCTAAGTACAATTACAATATAATTAATTTCAATTCTCAATGGCCAAGTCGATTGGACTCTAATTTGATACAATAATAAACTTTCTACGTACTCCACTACTGGTTTTTTTTTCCCCAAAGTTCGTATATAAACCGCTAAAATTACGTCGATCATTTCCGACGTTACCGGGTGGCCGCGACCGAGACGTAATGTATATATTTATTAGATATTCTTGCGAAGAAGTCCATTTCTATTTTTAATATAATGTTACTTTACATTAACAAATTTGGAGTTGTCCTAACGATTGGTTTATATGATTTTTATACATGGGATGAGAGATGAATATGAGTGTGTATAAATTTTATAATGATAGTATTTTAATATCGTTATTTCTGTGTGATAAATATAAGATCCTACTGCATTCGGTTGGCCACCCATCGCTACTATTATTTAAACTTATTAGAAAATTTTTATCAAATATTTTTCAAGAAATTTGTAAAAAACCTATAAAAGACTCTGACGTGCTCTAATGTTAATTTTAATGATAAGTTATAAACCTTAGTATGCAATCTATGGTACATGTAGAATAGTTTAATTCAAATAATAAAAAAAATCTTCTTTTCTTTATACCTTATAATTCATTGAAACGATAAATAATTTCAATAAATTTTAACTTTTTATTTCTTTGGAGTTGTATGTAAATATTTATACATACATATAATATACTATAGTTAATGTTTAATTAATTTAATATATAATTTTTGGAGTTACGAATATGTCAATAGATTTAACAGTTAATGTTCAAAATCCGTAAAGTTAATTGACATTTTAAGATAATTTATACAATATTTTATAAAAGAATTTAAATTTTTGCATAAAATTTATTTTTATATATAAGATTTCAAATTTTATATTATATAACACAACAATAATATATTATAATACTGAATCCGAGAAGAGCACGTCAGATTCTGTTAACGTTGTCTACGAAAAAATCGTTATTCTAAAAAGAGAAGAACATACAGGTGTTTCTGATTTCGTTGAGAATTCATTGACAATGGTTTTTATCGTTAAAAGAAATATTACTTTCAACCTCTCGGAAGTAAATCGTTATCGACAAATCTGCCAGCTGTTTTGCTCTATAAAAAAGATCTTACAGCTATTCGTCTATTTATCTAATTTGAGGAATTGTTTTCATTGAGGCCTGTACATTTGGCGCATCGTCAGCATTTACATTATTATTTGGAGTTATCAATTTTTACGTGTTGTGCATTGGTTAAATTATTCCTTCTGAAACCGTCGTTAAAAAGTGAGTTTTAATGGAAAAACTATTGTATATTTTGTGCTTACAATTTCCTCGCAATTAGTTAAAAAACGAAAATTCTATATAATATATATATGCATATATAACTTGTCGACACAAAAATATTTCTGTTAGCTTAACAACAATCAAGATCGATCAATTAATATTCAGCGTTAGAAAAGATTACAAGAAAATGTGAATTATTTGTAAAACAGCTACATAAAATAGACATCTAAATTGCACGAATAATTACAGACGCGTGTGCTTCAACAATAACTATCAACAACAAATTCCGATAATATCATATATATATTCATAATGAATATCTAATAATTTAATAATTTTTTTAAGCCTCGTATTTTAACGACTGTTACGTAACGGTATATTGCTCTTCAAGAGACAAGGTTCAAAGATATATAATCCAAATTATATAAATTTAAAGCTCGAATATAAGTTAAATATTCATCTAACACCCTCAGCTGACGATTTAGCAGAGATAATATTCTTCATTAGTCTGGTAATAATTATGCAGTAATGCGATTCTTAAATTCTCCTGTAAACTAACATATATAAGACGTTCCGTAACATCTTTGAGTTCTTAGACTCGTTTTGGCGTATTCTCAAAAAGCTAAAAGTGAATACTTATTCCGAAGAGTATCCTGGTTTATATAATTAATGTTAATTACTCAATCACATTGTCTGTGAATAAAAATGAAAGACACGATTAACGTGATCTTTAATATCTAAATATAAGTAAAATAATCGGAAAAAAGATCGATGCTGCACTTCGATCGTTTATTTAGTCAAGTAAAAAAATAGGCCTATTGATAAAACACGTAATCATAACTGTAAATGACTTATGAAGAAATTGTTAACATCGATCAGAATAATTAGAATCATTTGGATCAATTGACAAAGATCGAAGTTATTATAGATTTCATGAAGATTTTGGGAAAAGATTTTTGATTAACGTAAGAAAAGTATTTCATTTGATAAACTATCAAAATTCAAAACGATGGAATCGTTATTTCCTTTTTCAACATGCGCATTGCTTCACCTTCCCAATGGAGAAAATGTTAATCGTGCTTGAAATTCATGCTTGTTGCATGAATTGGTTACCATCTCTGTTAAGCACTATGTCATTAATCGTCATTAATCGCTCCGTAATCTCCTGTCACACCCACCGACCTCAAGCACATCGTAGCTTCAATATGATGAAGTATTGGATCCGATCCTTCAGTGCTTATTTCTTGTGCATCAACCTTCTTAATTAAGACAAACCCTGTCTTGGAATCGATCATAAATTTCGTTTGCACGAACGAAATTTTTCTTTCGACTCGTCAGCAATCGCTGTTCTCGACGGATATTCGGCAGAACTGAACCGAGAACATCCTTCAGTCGCGAGAATTCCGATCAGGATTCAACATCCTGAGCTTATTCGTTCGACATGAGCTGCACACTGTCGTCAGCCGATCGATGAAGTCGTCGAACTTCCGACAAGGAGCGAATCGGCGTCGGATGTAATAGCGAGAAGGGATGAGAATGCCGATCTGAGATTTAAAAAAAAATAGCGTATGTGGAAATAATTTGAAATGTTCCAGACTTATCAAGCCATGATTTAGATAATTTTTTGATTATAGAAAAATTTATATGTATATAGATATACAAATCTGTAATATCTACATTTTATCTATTATTATATGTTTAATTGTATGCAAGAAAAAAATGTATACAAATATGTTTATAACGTTTGTAACATTATACGTAATTACGTAATTATTATTCATAAATAATCAATAGATATGGTTATGTATTATCACATATAACTCTTTATTGATCCGATTTTATCAGCATGGAAGATAGCTATAACTTTCCGTCGATCGCCCACTCTCAGGAACCCCTTAATTTAATCGGGTTAAAAGTGGAAAGAGGCAATATACATATGCACTAGACGGAGAAAGAGAGAGAGAGAGAGAGAGAGAGATATCGCGCGTGTCTAGAGTCTAGAGTGCAATGTCAAGGTTGGACGTAAGTGTCTCTCGTGAATGAATCGATTTGCTGAAAGTCCGATCTATAGTATCGCGTCGGCGTAATTTTACCTAAACATGCGAAGAATCCCATCTCTCTCGGCGATTCGATTAAACAATGTCATTTTCATATATTGCCTTCTTATATAATTTATCATCACCGCAAACATTGCGACTCTTAAAGAAAAGAGAGAAACGACGTTCTCTTCTAGTTGTAAGTAAACAGTAATTTTCCATCCACAAGTTTCCAATTTTCAGTTTCCACTAACAGTTAATTAGTAAATTTTTTTTTAATTAATACTTTTTAAAGTGAATACTGCGTTATACTCTAAATATCTTTTCGTCGTGAAATTCTTACTTTTATAATATCAACTGATGTTGGATAATATCTCATTTTTGCATATAATCTCTCGATCTTCTTATGTGACTTATAATTATATTACATAAGTATCGATTTAAAAGAAGCAAATACTTTATAAATGAATATTCGAGAGTGGCAAGTTTCTATCGATTTTTACTTAATTTATTTTAGTCGCTTACTTTAGTTTTTTAAATTCTTAAAGTGAACCTTGCAATACCTTAAATATTCAATATACCTTAAATAATAATAATAATAATAATAAACAATATACCTTAAATATTCCTCGTTAAAACTCTCACCTCTAATATCGGTCGACGTCTCGCTCCTGGAGAGCTCGTGGTCGTTACCGCGATGCGAGGGCGTCTTCGACGGGCTCTTGACTAGGAGTGCCGTGTCGTTCTTGCCTGGAGTGATACTTTCATCCTGATTGGGAAACTGGAAGGCCGTGGAATTGGGCCACGAAGCCGGGGGTGGACTGCGTACCAGGTGCTCGTGTACTTGCGCGAGTGTGAGCGGATCCGCGTCACCGTATTCCTGAAAACACATGTCTTTTTATACTTCCTTTTAAAAGTGCTTGAAAAGAAGTATAAAATACAGCTGCTTTTAAAAGGAGTACAAATACTCTTGATAACGAGCTCCTCTTTCTTCCTTTTTACGCTCCTTTTCAAGAAAGTTGATCCGTTCTTTATCACGTCCTTTTTTTCAATCGTTGCGCCCAAATAATTATGCGCGAAAACTGATCAATTATTTTATTTTCATTTAAATTTATTTGATTTATTTTCTTTAAGACTAGACAATTTGGAGCAGTTATGCGGACTCTGCAATAGAAATTGTAAATCTTATAGAAAATTGACCAATCACAGTCAAATGTGAGGAGAATAATCGACTGTGATTGGGCAATTTTCTACGATTTAAGACTTACGACTCTTATTGTAGAGCCCGCATTACAAAAAATCCACTCTAAAAGTCATGACGATAAAACTATTATTATAATGCGTGAAAATAGATCTCTAATGTTTTATTAAGTTCGCGAAAATTTAATGAGGGACCTCACCTGCGACATTAGAATCGCATCGTCGGACTCGGACTCTTCGATCGATTCCACTAGGCTCTCTCGGCTGGCTAATACCTGCATAATTAGAGAAATTTGCACAATTATGTCGATATACATATATCAAGGTGTAAAATCAAGTGAAGCATTATTAAGGAAGGCAAGACTTATTGTATAGCAATTCGACGTTCATTTTACAGTTAGAAAAAATTTAAACCGTTTAAACTGTACACTGTGAAATCTATAGTGTCAAATTTAATCTTATTTAAAAGTTACCACTGCTCCTACTTAATAATAACTATTTAAATATATCCTACTTAAAATAGTTATTTTTAACTAAAACAATGGAGTTAAATAATTCAAAAACAGTTCAAATTTAACCCAAATTTAGGATAAATTCCATCGTTTTATTTAAAAATAACTATACATTAAATAGAAGCATATGGCGACTTAAATAGGTTTAAATTTGACAATATAGATTTAACAGTGTAATGTTTTAGCTACCTAAAAAATTTCAAAAAAAATGAATTATATACTAATCCAAGATATGCATTTTTCTTCAAATGAGAATAAAATAATGTTGCAAAGTTTGAATCGTTTAGAATTCCAACAATTCACGAATTTCGCAAAAATCATCTTTTGCACGGGACAACGTAACGATCAGGCCAAACCTGTAGGAAAGGATTGTCCTGACGACTCAGCCTGAGTGCCTCCATGTCCTGATCGATGTTACGCGTTCTACCGGGTGTCAGGGTCAAAATTGAGTGCGAGGGTGACGGCTGACAGGAGACAACGACGTCCACCGCTGTCACACTCAAGGTCGACGGAATTCGCGACATCGTGCTATCACTTTCCGAGCCGGTCCGGCGACACGTATTGGTAATAATTGCTGCAAGCAATATTGCTTGTGCTATCGATCAGGTGTGCGCGTATATGCGGATATGCCTTCATTAACTCGACAGAAAATACAATTCTCTCAATCAATATACGTAATTTATCATCTGAAACTTTACTTTATTAGTTGAGTAGGTGGAATGATCGGTATTATTCTGTCACGGCGCGTAATTCATCAGTTAGATCTTCATTTTGCTAATAATATTTCAAGAAACAAATTGAAGTAAGCAAAATTTGAAGCAAATGGCAACATCAATTAACTGTCTAAAATTTAAATTAATTATAGTTGCATAGGTAAATATCGTTAAATAATATCCATTCCCGTTTTTAATATTCCCGAAATAATATATCAACGCTTAAAATCTTTTGCGTTTTTCAAGAAAGTTTTAGCCAAAACCAGAAATGTATTTAACACCTTCAATTTTAATAAAAATTTAATAAAACGATGATAAATTAACGATATAAAAAATCGAGACATCTCACAGATTTTCTCACTAAGGAATATTTCGAGATATCTTAAAGATAAAGAAATTTTGTGAAAGAGAGAGCTGAGAGAGTCACTAATATCTCACCGGGAGTCTCCACCCTGGGCGCGCGTTCCATCTCTTCGTCTTCGTTGATCTTCATCCCTACCGCTAGTTTTCTTAATTTAAACAGATTTGTTAGGAAAGCCGCCCCTTTGCGTTTCACCCGATCATATCTGTGCACGCTTTCGGACGACACGTGTATCATAATTCGTCTGTAAGCATAACGTAGCGTAAGTTACAGCATCGTTCAATATCGTGTGTGTAATTTGTCATTCAAAATATAATGCTACATAATACATCTTCGGACGACACATGTACCATTACTCGTCCGAGATTATAATATATGCATGTAGCGAAAGTGGAAAAACATAATTATCAATTCATAACACTGCGTACAGAGTTGCGCAAAACAATTATGGAAAATTTTCCTCAAGTTAAATCGTTTTACTAATCTCTGGTACGGATTTAGTAAAAATATCGAAACAATAGAATATTATGAATGTCTATACAAGTCGGCGAGAAATCAATCTACGACTGACGTATGACCAAAGGGTTAATTCCCATATTGTTTCCAAGTTGGTACAGACAGATGCATAATAATTAATAACGTCCTGTCAGTCGTAATATAATAATTTCATATTGCAACGATACGCCAGTAATACATTGAGACAAAGCGGTAGATGTGCCGACTTACTCTACTTTCACTTTCAACCCATCAATCGCCACGGTTAAGCAACCCCACAACGATTAGGCATCACTCCCGAGAATTTTTTTCGGGAAAAGTTCGCGCTTATAAAATATACATATATATATTTATCAAAAATCGATGTGAAATGATGGGTAATGAACAAGTCGTGTCGGGACGCACTACTAAGTGAAAACTCGTTGGAATTATTACTCGGTATCGTTGTCAAACTTGCAAGCAACGTCGGATTCGCAATCCGAGAAGCAGCGTACTGCCAACTGCAGTTGCGGAAGGGTGTGCACCTACTCCTGTGCAGGAGCTCGCGCAGCTGCAGCTGCCGACGAGTGGACGGAGCTTGCGCGTAAAAGGGGTGGGTGAAGAGGAGGGTGGTGAAAAAGACGAGAGCGACGGATTCCTTGAAGAGCAAAGCGAAGTGATGTTGTTATCTCCTTTTTTTTTTATTTGATAAACACCTTCAAGGCCCACATCTCGTGTTTACTTGATTAGTAAGACGTGGTTCTTTAAGTTTAAGGGTCGAAGAAAAAAAGAAACGTGGACTTGATGAGCAGTTCGAATTTTTTAATTGGAAGACGCGTCGCAATTTCAATGTTTATATAACTGATTGTGAAATAGTATCCAAATTATATAAAAGTAAATTATTGATATAGTTATTACAGATTCTTTGTTAAAAATTTCAAAATTATGATTTATGTTATCTACCACATGATTACGATTGTAACGCGTTAGTGACTGAATGTTAAAAATGCAATATTAATTTTTAATTGCTCGAAAATATATTCTTTTTACATAAATCTGTGTATATACAATGTCACTAAAAGACAATACAATTCTTTAGATGAAAAAAGAAATTCGAAAGATGATGTGTTGAATCTTGCAAATTAATTTGTAGAGTTCATAAAGCAGCTCATTATATATGGGGTGGTTGAGGAAGACGGGTGTACTTTTCCAGGAGTGCGCCACGTCGTGCTCGTTCGATCGATCGCACGAGACTCCGTTATACAAGGGGTGGTTACAATACGTGCTGTCAGTTCCACGTATGTATTGTGATCACTGACAAAAATTATATGAAATAATAATAAAATTATGATTTTCCACCTCTGCCTTCTCCAATAATTAACAAACTTAATATGTTCAGAATGTACACATGCATATATCAACATCAGTGGATGTATATAGACGTCTGATCAGCCACATCTCTCTCTCTTTCTGTTTTAACAAATTTTAAGATATTCTTACCGAAATTTTAAAAGAACTTGTAATGCTATAATAACTTGTGACAATTTATTATAGTTATTAATATTTTACATATTTTTCAGTTCAAGAATTGGAATTATAAATGTATATATACTTACTTTCTCAGTTTTGCCATCGATTTGAAATAAAAATTTTAGAGGAAACACAAATCAAACTCACGTAAAGGAACACAATAAAGTTTCGATTGAAATAAAATATCTTTGAAACTGACTCAATAACAGTTTTATTTGTTTAAAAACTTTGTTTCTGTTTTATGCGGTACAACAAACGGTACTTCTAAAATTTCGTTTTAAGGATAAGTATGTAATCAATCGAGAGCAGCACTAAATTTTAGCTGCTGAAACATCATAAATTTTCCTGCACGGTTATCAAAACTGCACGTGGCTGATCAGTCTGATCTGATGGCATTGAAATTCCGTCCAAGCCCCTTTAAACTCGCCGTTTCGAAACTAATAGCAGATGAGAATCTCGATGACTCTCTCTGAAACTATTTACACTCTTCGAAGACGATCGACATATGACCGAACCATTTCACGCACGTTGTAGCCCGTAAACATCGCAACCACAGGCAGTCACTGTGACATTTGCAGTCGTGTTGCGAGGGGAGAAACGGAACTCGATTGGCACTCGATATAACGTTCTCGCGACTGATCCGTACGTCCGTTGGATTACCTGAAAGCTCGCACACCTGCCGGCGATGCATCCTCGCGTTGCGTCGCGTCGCGTTGCGTCGCGACGCCAACGACACAAGGGTGCGGCGCGCGCGAGAGAGGGCTTTCCGGCCGGCGGCGGCGGCACGCCGGTCCTACCCCAAAAAATCAAAGAAAGCCGGCTTATCAGCAACGCGCGCGCGCGTGCACTCGCCACGGGGAAGTAATCCCTTCCCACCGATTTTTAATTTGGATAGCTACGAGAGATTTTCCAGTAATTAAATGTAATCTACGGGTACGGTACCTCTTCTCCCTCTTTCTTCGCACGAATCATCAATTTAACTCAACTAATTAATCTGATAAATTACTGAGTCATTAATATGATTATACAGAAGAAATCAGAATCTCGAATCTGCGTAGGATGTTAATGGGATTGTATTCGAAAGGGACTATTTGCGTCAGGAAAGTTAAGAATAAAGAGAAAGTTTGAGGTAGATATGCCGATTTATTCAAATCATTTGCCTACCTGAAAATTTCGCCAAAATTGCAACATTAATATCTCGTAAATTAATGTTTAATTGTGATTCCTAAATCAACGCACATTATGCGTAAAATGCGTAAAAGTAGTATCCGTACTGCGGAATTAATTCGCCGTAAGTATTATTTCTCCAGGTGCCGCATTAAAACTTTCAAATATCTCTCACTACATAATAAATAAGTTTTTCAAGAAAGTTTGATTCGCTTGAAAATATTCATTTGTTACATTTAAAATATAAAATCAGACGACTATAAATTAAAAGATATTTTTTTGTTGATATTAAAATATTACCGCGATAGTATTACATATATGTTTCCCAATAATATATGCAATAAACTATATTTTTCAAATAATTCATATACGTTCTGGAGAAAATGGAATTTGTGGCGAAGCAATGGCGTACATATATGCCTCCTGCGACGCACATAAATACTTATTTAACACAAAACATTATGAAAAGGGAAAAAAAAATTAAATAACAAAGCGATCAACGCAAAGTAAAAGCGGCGCCTCGTAAGTACAAAAAACAAAGCTATTTAATAAACTCGAGAAAAAGACTTTTTTCTCGTAAGAAAATACGAAATGCACAAAATTTCTTCTTCGTGACAAAATTATTAAATTAACATTTCCGTTTCGATTTGTTTAATGAGGCGATAGAAAAATGCGCTAATAGACGATACAGTCCATCCTCGTATACTTACAGCAAGCAATCCAGCAACACTCGAGTAACAATAATGAGGAATAATAATAATCATTATAATTATAATAATCATCGTCTATAATAATAATAATAATAATAATCGTCATCATTATTTCCGTTAACGATATGTTAGCCTAGTCCGTATAAACACAGCGACATCGAAACATCGTTTATATTATGTGTAGAAATTAATTCATATTTATGTATATAACATACATATATATAATATATATAAAACATTTGCAAAAAAATCACAGTTACTTAAAACACCTTATCTTTCCACTCTCTTTTTTTTCTAAAACTCTCTCTCTCTTTCTTTCTCTCTTTCACACTCTCTTGCTCTCTCATTCCGTCTTTTTTCTCATACGCACATTCTTTTTTTCGCACCTATTTATAGACGACGTATCGCGAGAATAAAAAATTACCCGCTTTGAATTATTAAATTAAAAATTAAACAAAAAGACTGTCGTAGCCGATTTCGCAGGTCTCTTTATATTCTCAAAATATAATTCATTCATAAGATTTGTTTTGCAATTAAATAGATTTTGCCCTTCTCGTGGTTCAATTGTTAAAAAAATTATAAATATTCTAAGACAATTTGTAATATGTAGTCGCGATTAATATTCAATTTTTATAATCAACAAATTGTTGATATTTCTTCTAATAATTCCTGATGATCAGTTCTCAATATGTCGTGTATGTGTTGTGAGAATTCGAAGATTCTACAAAAATGAGCTTCCTCTCTTCCACAAGATATATATAACTTCAACATTACAAAAAAAAAACAAATCAGTCGATAATGGCTTCGATTAGATATGGAAATATTTTTTGTGGAAGAAAATCGTGTCGAGGCAGTGGCACAACATCGATGTAACAATAATCAGGGTTTCTTAAGTACTATTCGCAGTTTCACAATGTCTTCGCTACTTTTGAATTAGAGCAGACGTCCAATTTCTAAATGATTATTTCCCTTCTACAAAACAATTCACAATGCCGAATATAATTCGGAAATTTTTCAGTTTTTGTAATCATTTGTATCTTCATATAATTCCAAAATTATAAATCAGAACTTAGCGATTAAAGTTTTAGTCTACAATTAAAACTTGAAGTTTTATCAATATCGGAGTTGTAAAAACTATTTTGTTATTAATTTCCTAAATCTGTAACTGCAAGAAAATTTTCTATCGTTTCATATATCTCTTTTTAGAAGAATGAAATATATAAGTTTCTAGTTAATTAGATTTTTAGGAATTGAAATTCATCCAAGCTATTGTAAACTCGCTTCACAATTATCGTTGCTCAAATATCAAACAATCGATTGTTTAATTACACGGCAGTGTTGGCACAAAGCGTAAACATTGGCTGTCTTTGTCGGAGAAGAAGGAAAAATTTACATTTAAATACAGTCCTAAGCACACGCAAACAAAGCGCTTTTCTCCAGCTGGATCTGCGACTTGAATCACTATGGCGGCCGTTGGAAATAAAAATTAATAACTAATTACCAATCATTTTCATACACTTAATCCCTCAAATGCTGCTTCTCTCGTCTCGGAAAATTAAAACGCCATAGAAATAAAAAGTAAAAGATATATGTATATATATATATTCTATAGATATATATAAATACATATTCTTAATTTTTATGTACATATTAAATCTGAAAAATATACCGCATGTAATAAATGTACATATTATTATACATAATAAACCATAATGTGTATTCTGAGATAATCGCGTGATATATAATTGGGCGAGTCACGCCGCCCGAAACGTTTGAGAGATTAATCAACGAAAGAACCTCGCAGTGATAGAAATATCTAGAGTAAGACTTTTGCGCGCTACCGTCCGCTTAGTAAGCTGAGGACAGAAAAGCCAGTGACGATGGCAGTAAACGTTCACGACTCGATTCGCCAAAAGTCAGTCGATCGCGCAGACATTGGCCGTTTTTGCTGAAGAATAAAAAAAAATCATACAATTCTGTTACAGAATTCGAATATTTCATGAGCAAAGAACGCATCATGATTCATCAGGATCCTGTAAAATTATAATTAAAAAAAATATTAAGTTACATCATTAGAATGCACGAATATGTCTCAATTCTATTAATTAAAATCTGCAAATCGTTTATATTAAAAACATGAAGCTCTCGGAACAAACAAAGATATTGCAATTGTAGAGCTTCAGAATTTACAAACGATAAGTAAAAGAATGACTTGTCAGAGAACGACAAACAATTCAAGATTACATATCTCAAAACTTAAGTACTGATCGTATCAATAAAAAAAGTTTTATAAACATTTTTAGTAGTATACTAAAAGTTGGAATTTTTAGCATAAAATTGTAGAATTGTAAAAAATATCGGAAGATGTCAGTCAAGGATGTAGTTAATACATGCCGGCGCGACTGGCTTCAAGCGACTGATAGCGAGACAGATGGCTGACAAAACATTGATCAGTAACTATTTCATTAGCGCTAATGGGTATGTACAAAATTTCATATGTTACACGACAATTCCGCGTCCGCCGTTAATCCAAGTGCTCGGAGCAGGTCAATGTCGGCTCGCACACGTGGCGTAAGTACGTTATCTTTTCGGAATTCAGTCATTAGTGCGATTAGCAGCAATAATTATCACGATAAAGAAATGTACGTTGAAATCAGTACCGGAAATTTCAAAGATCTGAAGTCCACTTCAAGTCTCAGAAGTTTGAAACAAACGCAAAGTTTAAGATCCGCGAGAAAAGCAATTGAAAATTCTCAAGAATCTTTTAAGTTGAACGTTTCTCCAAACATTTAAACTCATTACGCTTATAGAAAACGTAAAGAGAACGTTCTACAAGAAGAAGAAGAAGAATCGTATGTCGATGAGAAAAGTTGAACAAGTTTAAAGATATTATTAATTACCGATCGGCACTCTCTCTCTCTCTCTCTCTCTCTCTCTTGCCACGAACACTTCAATTATCACGGCGACGGATGCTCGTTAGTAAGGAATGGTTGTCGGAGAACTTCCCTTAGGAGAGGACGTTGACTTCGCGGGGCGAACTGCAGACGTTCAACACGCTGCTGGTTGGTGAATTAGGCGTGATTTGACTTTGAGCCTCGCTTTGGGCCTGCCGTATCGCTTCCTTGTACGGGCCGCGCTTTTTCTTGTTATACCGTGCCTAAAATCAGATTCATGACTATTATTAACAAATTTATAAGTCATTATATGTTACTGTCATTGTGAAACAAACAAAATAAATTCCAAATTTCGCTCCTTCGTTTCTTTTATCTTTTGAAGCAGTTTCAATTATTACTCATTATACTTTAGTGATTTTTATCATTTATTGTATTTATTCATTATTATTATTTGAATTTTATACCTTAAAAGATTCGAGAAAGGGACTTAATTGATCACAGGACATTAGCGAACTCGTCGACGATCCGTACCAAGCCACGTGAGCCTGAGGACCTGATGAGGTACCGTCTTCCTTGCAAGATACCGTGATACTTAGCACCTGCGCATAATAAAATTCGATAACAATAGATATTAATCTAACGGCTTAACTAACACTCATTAGTTAAACTAATGATTGTTGTAACTTATAATGTTCTATATTAAGTTGATTTCTTATTGTCAACATTATTTTATTGGAACACCTTGGGCATACCTTGCCAGGCCACCAAGGAAAGCCGTGAACTTTGCCCCATACGACATCGCCCACGTCCATCCGCCGGCCGTTGGTTGTAAGACAGTGAGCTACGGGGGTGGCAGCTAGGCGCATAACCAGAGGGGTCGACTGATGGGGTGGAAAATCCGGCGCGGTTTCGACTTCCGGTTCGTGTTCGCTCAACTCGTCGCTGCTACCACCGGAACTCTTGCAGCCAGAGGACGCGTTACTCACGGGGTAATCACAACGCGCGTACGCATTTGTGTTCAGCCTCTTCAGAGATATCGACAGCTTCTGTTTCAGGCACTGCTCCTTGATGGCTCGGTAAGATTCACCGCCGCCTGGTAAGACATTCCAATTATGTTCCTGCGACTGCTGCGGCTGCTGCTGCTGCTGTTGTTGTTGTTGTTGTTCTTGCTGCTGCTGCTGCTCTTGTTCCTGCGATTCTGTGGAATCTAAACAGGACTGCTCAGATTGCAGTTGTTCCTGTTGTTGCTGGTTCTTGTGCTTTCGGCCTTCTTTGTGTTTCTTTTTATGTTTCACCTTATGCTTCCGACGATGATATAAGAGCGGATCGTACGTGGGGTTGTATCTGGATAAATTAAAACAGCGATATAAATTCTTGAAAAAATTCGGCTTCTTAAATATAAATTTTAAATACGCAAGGAAATATATTTTATAAATTAGTTACAATAAAGTTGTAATATTTCTCTATACTATATAATCGTGCGCATACAATTGTGCAATGTATTTTTATATAATTTATCTGGATAAATTAAAACAGCGATAAATTCTTGGAAAAATTCGGCTTCTTAAATATAAATTTTAAATTCGCAAGGAAATATGTTTTATAAATTACAATAAATATATTACAACCAATTACAATAGATGTTGTAATATTTCTCTATATTATACAATCGTGCACATACAATTGTGCAATGTATTTATATATAATTTATTTGTACATGATATTATTGTAAAAAAACGAATAAGATTGAAAAAATACAATATCATAAAACTCGCAACTGTACAAAATCTAATCCTGCGAATTCTATGAATTTCAATAATTTTCACTTGATGTGATCTTACCTCGGCGATCCATTGCATGGCGATCTCGCTGGTGACACACCGCCCAACATCTTTCTTCTAGCCTCTTTCTTGGCCTTCTTCAGAGCCCGTTTCGCTGCCTTTGCACTGGCGTCCTTTATCACGCCGCCTTGCTTCTGAGGATCCACCTGCTCCTGCCCGTCTTCTTCGCCCTCGTAATCGTCGCCAAAGGATCTGGGCAGCTCCAGAGGATCTCTCTCTTGCTGAGCGTCATCGGCGTCGTCCGTCTCCTGCTCGTACGCGTCAGGATCCTGAGGTTTCGCTGGTATCTTGAGAACAGTACCCTCGCCTTGCGCACCGAATGAGATCTTGATCACCGGCGTGGTCCTGGCGGTTCTCGTGGGATCCTCGAACACCGATTCATCCCAGAGATCCTCCATCGAGCCCACCGAGCGCTTCTTCCTCGGCACTCTGCCAGTTTTCGGTCTCATCGTCGAATCCGCGGCCGCGAAGGTCTTCTTGTCCTCTTCTTCGGGAATTTTCGCGCTCTCCACCGACGAACTGCTGAGCCTTCTCGGCGTGGCACAATAAGCCGTCGAAGGATTATTGTCATCGACTGTGGACTCCACCCGTTCTTGCGACGACGCCAGCAAGGACACTTCCTCTTCGTTTCTGACAGACCAATGTGAAGATTGCGCGCTCGTCGCAACTTTCACTTTGTCTGAAACAATTGTCCAGTCTTCGATACGAGCTTATACTAATTGTAAGATTATATTGTCGAAAGCTCTTTCATTCGTCTAGAAATTCAATAGCCCGAAAAGTATTTTCTAATTTTTAAGTAATTATTATTTTCGCAAAGAATTGAAGAAGTATCTTCTCGAACTACTTTAAACTGATTCTACTTTAAACAGACACCTATTATGGAAATTAAAATAGGCTCTTTATCTTACAAAAATAAACGATTAAAAAAATTCCAAATTGTAATATATGTATACACATACGAATATATTATATAATTTTTATTTTATTACTTCATATATATATATATGTATATATATATATATATATATATATTCATTTAACAAAAAAAACCATCCTTAAATTTTCTAGTAATAGTACATGTTAACATCAACACGGTTCATTGAAAGTATAACAGATAAAAACGTACCAGATAATTGACCGGATCCTTGAATTGCGTCGCTGATCTCGTTGGGCTGTAGTCTCGACAGTTTTGGGATCAGCGACGCTCCCAGCTTCGACGAGTCGGTACTCGAACTTGCCGTCTTCGTCGCTTGATTGGAGATCGTGCTTTTCGTCCGGCATTCCGACAGCAACGTTCGTTGAGTCTTCTGCGGTTGCTGACCGCAACGTCGGTCGCTTCTTCTCGTAGATCCTGGGATCAGCTGGTAGAATCAGCAAAGAAAAAGCAAGTTACTTCCGCGCGACGATTCGGGCTAAATATTGCATTAAACGTGCAGCGATTTCGATGAAGTCTCCAAAAGCCCGAAACGAGTTTAACGTTGTCAAAAAAAACGCAATCGTTTATCGAAGCTGTAAAACTCAGAGACCCGATGTAGTTTACGTTATCACACTTTTTATGAGTTTCTTAAAGTATAAATTTTAGTTTATAGCTTTTCAGCCTCTTCTGTTCTCAAGTATCTTTAAATATGCATATTATTACAAGAAATGGAATTTATTTGTCTTTACGAATTCTTGAAAAACTCTGTAGAGACATGAAGAAACATTCGACGGGACACCTGTCGAATATATGTATAGATATTCTGAGCAACATTCGCAGTACCTGCTGCGATTGCTGTTGCTGAACGTCCTCGTGCTTCCGCTTCTTGCTCACGTCAACATTCTCACTGTTCTCGTTGCAGATCGATCGGCACTTGCTGCAGAGCACCTGGCGAGGTCTCAGCCTCACCGTAGGCCTCGCGTTCTTATATCTAGCCGGTGGATTGATGCTCCTACGGAGGTCAACCTTGGCAACGACGGCGGCCGCCGCCGCCGACGACGCGCTCCTCTTCTCCTGGAAATAACTGAAGCGTGCCGCGATCGTCGCCAGTTTGTCGCCATCGGGATCCGGCACCGGCTCCGGGGGTTGAACACCGCAGGGAAGGCCCCTACAAATATAATTCGTATAGCACGTCTTGCATAATCGACGTTTCGAAAATTTAAACATCATCTATAATTATCCGAAAAGGTATAAATAATAACTTTATCGATATATTTCCATCGTTTTGAATATCTTATTTCTGGCTGTTTGTTTGCTAATTAAAATTTTGAAACTCGACGTATTATAACATATGCATCGTTATACCTTTGGTCGAGACTGTCTGACTACTCGATTCGACCTCGCACGTAGCGATATATTCATTTGTATCATCTTACATCAAACGCGAATCAATAAATATGAGGGAAGTGCAGAGGTTTTCTTTTGCGTTCCTTTGTGTGAGTACTTTGTGCTCGGTACGACGTTAGCTCTCTCTCTCTCTCTCTCTCTCTCTCTCTCTCTCTCTCTCTCGATTCTCCGCGATACAAAATCTGTGCTTGAGTATTTCAAGTTTACTTTTTTCGACTCGGAGAAAAAGGCTTCAGATTGACGTACGGATTTCGGATCGTCAAAAATGACGTCAATGGCTTATTTTCCCGATGCTTAAGACTCGATTTTACCGAGTGCTCTAAATTTTCTCGCGACTTTAAGCAACTTTTCTTGATCAACTTTCCTACGTTCGTCTTGGCAAGCGAGCTAGACCGCCGTTGCGTCGAAGCTTTCATTCCGAAGGTTTCAATAGAAACCGACGTGGAATGAGAATGGCCGGGTAGAAGATTGGGCAACGCTTTCGGGTATGCTTCGTCGGCTTCCCGTGCACCGACAACGCGGCCATGTCATGGTATTGATTCGAGAGAGGCGCGTACAATGAGCGACAGCCTCTGACGGTATATCCATTAATATTTTCTGGGTCCCGATACGAGGCAGACCCTCGAAATTCCGAGTCAGACCGCGCGCAGGGAAGAAAAATGGCTGGGAGGGAATATCAGGAATCAGCAGATTTGCCACGAAACGTGAAAATGATTATGATAAAACTGATAAATTGGAGGGGTCTACCCCTCGCTTTGCTTATCATTGTAACGAATTTACAACGCGAGAAGATGCGAGCGCTGCCATATATTTGTAAAGCCTAGAATTCTTCAAATCTTTCTCTCATTTTCGTCTTTTTACTTTTAAATTATGCGGACTTATCTAATCTTTAAGCTTAGCTTAAATTTACATTTTTAATCAAGAGCTGCAATCGATCAACGAGCTAGCATCTACGCGATAAAACGTTGAATTCCATTTATTCCCCGATCTATCGCAATTATAGATTCTAATTTTGTTTTTTTCCTGACATTCCCAATTATCTCGTTAAAAACAACTGTAACAACAACTGCTCATTTCTTAAGTTAATAAAGCAGACGGTTAACGTGGACTATGGCGTTGGTATACGTGGCTGTTTCTCTGCTTTGTGTCCACGCACACATCCGCAGTTTCGACCCGCAAATGGTGGCGTTCTCAGAGACGTCGACGATATTCCCTTTGTTCCTGACGAACACGAGACCACTATATTGAAGGTTCTCAACCTTGGATCGCACGCGAAACGCACAGCTGAGACTCGTATTTTGGCTCGATGTCGGGCAGATCGATAAATACCGTTCCCTCAGACTAATAAATTCATGTCCTTGGACTGTCATCTAATTCAGTCATCGATCGGCCTTTCCCAAATGTGTATTTAATAGTGTGCACAATTCAACCAAAATTCTGCTAAAACAAAGTCTGCTTGAAATTAACGAAAAAATATATTAATATTTTATTAATATAAATTAATATTCTCACTGTAATTATAAATATCAGTTCTATAACAGTTTTTTGTCCAAGAATGTTTCGAGAAATTCTTTGAGAAGCTAATGTTGGTCAATGGTCTTGATTTTTAAAAAGGGAAGACAGAATTACTCTTCTGAATGTAAATCTTTGTTAAGAAGCTAACTTTATTATTCGACAAATGTAAATATTTCATCGACGTCTTTCATAAAATTCTTTAAAAGTGTATCGCCAATTTTTCTAGATAAACTAAGAAGACTTAAATTATAACGGAAAAATATGGGAACCTCTGCCGCACCATACCGTCGTGCACAACGTGACACAAGCCAGGCCTGGTTGGTCGGTGGCCCCGACTAGCATTCAGGGCCGTAAACAGAAACTTTACTGTCTCTGGATTACTTATCTTTCCTTATCTAACTCAACTCGATAAAACAAAATTGCCACATATATTACAGCACAATTGACGTGAACGAAAATTATTTACAAATAAAAAACACACTAAAATACTGGCTACTTATTGTTATCCTAAATATTATCAATCGGACCCAAAACGGCATCATTTCCCATACAGCAGAAATATTCGAAATATATCATAGTGATATCCTAAAGATTATCATATCTCAAATACCTATATCTTTATGGTATTTCTACAATATATTTTGGATACTTCTGCTATGTGGGTTATTACCGCATTAAACATACAAAAGTTAAGGATAATAACGAAAGAATAATAAATGAGCGACGTAATAAGAAAGGCAATATTAATAATTAATTTTTCAAATTAAGGTATTATTGGTGATCGATCCTAAACGATCCCCTCGCCCCTGTTTACAGCCCTGCTAGGCATGGTTGTGCAATTGCGACACGGGGCGGCCATTGGCCGCCCGGCTTGGACAAGAAAACCTAGGGCGCGGGGTAAGAAAACGGGCAACAGCTGTTCGGCCACAGCGACGAGCCCAACTCTGAACTCACGGGACAGCTAACCCCGGCTGCCCTCTGAGAAAAATGCGCTGAGAAAAACGACAACTGCCTGGACGGACGAAACTAGCAATTGCATGAGGAAAATTGCCATTTGGCTAAACGGGGCTCGAGCGAAAAGTCTGGGGCGGGCGATTGACATCGATCGAGATCGGGATCGGAGTGTGATTTCGTAGTCAACGAAATTGCACTCCGATTCTGAAGATAGAATCGAACAAATTGGATAATTGCGTGGCGTTATCGTGAACGAAAATGAGTTTACCCGCCAAATAATAGCACTCTACTCGAAATCGGTTTAATATCCATTTTAATTATAACACTCGGCGAATTCAGTTGATTCGATTCATGTAAAATTCAATTCATGTTGTAATAACATGTAATCAAGTTCGATAAACCTCAACGGTTTCATGGTAAAACTTTAATAATGGAATTCATTAAGTTGATTAATCGCATATATACGATAAACTCACTGTGGTTATAATATTTGTGTAAATTCAGTTTAAGGCTTCCCACACGTTATTGGCCTGGCTATATACATGCATACATATAGAGCTCGCCTTTCATAAGTTCGCGGATTAACTCGTGTATCTGTAACAACAGTGGTCAACCAGTATAACGACTACTTAGTTAATTTCCCAATAATCGAAATGACTACTCGTATTAGAGAAGTCTCGGCAACGACTATATTACAAAGGTGGCGTTTACTATGCGAGACCATGAGTCACCACCAGTCGAGTCTTTTTAGCATATACTGAGTGACACGAAACTTTCGTTGCACGTTTATTCACGTATTTCACGGCTATTCAAAATCAACTTATTGCTTTAACTTTTCAACTTTTGCCGAAATTTTATTGAATGGCAAACTCCACAAACCGCGTTATTAATTCATTGTCAATCTCTCGTTCATTGATTGGATAGATAAACTTCATGTTCATGATTTAAAATAATGATAATTTAATTAGCAATCAGATTCTAATTCATCATATCGCGCGAAGAGAATTTCAACAATCGACGGTTCATGGTAATAATGGAATTCATTAAGTTGATTAATCGCATATATACGATAAACTCACTGTGGTTATAATATTTGTGTAAATTCAGTTATCGTTAAAAAAATTCAAAAAATTCCATTACAAATTGGAAGGAAAGCGTGCAACTCGCGGGACACCGGGTATATGTAATTATACATATACGTAAGTGGAGAAAAAAAAACGGGCGGAGGATGTAATATCTCATTTATATGAGGACTTCGCGACAACCGAGTCATGTAAAATTTGAGGAAACTCACGACTTCCACGCCCATCGGCGGCTGGCGCTGGGAGGAGACGTATTCGCGCGCGAACACACTTCCTATTAAAGTGCAGATAAGTTATCAAAATTATCGGAGCTTTTGGGACTCTTGGACCTATTTACGTCTCGGAGGAAATGAGATATTCCGTGCCAAGTTCGCGCGTAAGTTTCGTGCACTATCGTGGAAGCCGACGGGCATCGCGCGCCGTCGGACGGCGTCACCACCGTAACTTCTGTCGCAACTTAATCCCGCGCGTATATCGCGATAATTAAAATATCTCGAATATCTTAATATCATTCCTCTGATACTTTAATATTAATATCTGAATCTTAAAGCCTGAATCTTTCGATTCAAATTGGATTCAGACGTCTATACGTTTAAAAAGTTGATAAAAGAGCAGAATAAATTATTAACTCACAAAAATAAAGTAAGAAGTTAGGAAACAACTTTTGTCTTAAAAATAAAATCTAAAAAAAGTCCTGAAGATATAAATTTTAATTTTAATATCTTCTGCGTCAAGCTGATTATTTCTAAATATGTATTAAACCGATGTTTCATTTAAAATAAAGTTTTTGAATAAATTGTTGTTCCTTTTTTAGATACATATTTGTTCTATAGAAGAAATAGATTCTTTTCAATTCACGATTTATATAATTAATATAAATATAAATTAATTATACTTTGCTTCATAAATGAAATGTGCAATTAAGCTTGAAAGAGAGATCCTTAAATTTCGAGAATGCTACGCGAGAAAGTCGACGGCACTTTTGTGCAACCGCCCAATTTTAGATCGATTATGTAACGACTCCTTGGGATCCTGACGCTGCCAGACATTTGGAACATTGACTTTGTTCCGGGTACCTGAATTTCTAAATTGATAATATCACATCCTCGAATCCCAGCAATGACGTTGAAGATTATAAGTTATACGTGGCATCAAACTTTTTGTTACAATGGAACATCGATCATCGTGTACAACGATTATTATTATACATCGATCATAGCTCATTCTACTATTTTATCCTGATCTTTATTTGTTTGTACTTTAGTCTTAACTTGTGTGGCAATTCTAAAATCCTTCTCGAATTCTCGGATTCATAAATTCTAAAGATAAGAATCATCGCAAAGAATTTTTGCAGCTGTACAATCTATCAGATTTCGGTAACCTTGAATCTTTAGATATTCGAAATTGAAAGTTTTAGATCTTTCGCTTCTTTTGTTCTCAGAAATAAGTGTACAGTTGTGGACAAATTGGTTGCGACACTTTTTTTATAAACTTCGAAACGCATTAATATTTTGCAAAACTACGATAATTCACATTTGCAAAATTGGTGTACTGTCTCTAGAAAAAAGATAATACGCCAATCGTGATTCGCATTTGAAAAATATTAGGCACTTATAAAATATATATTATATACATTAAATTTATGTTAAAAATCTATTTAAAAAAGTGTCGCAATCTATTTGTCCACGACTGTACAAAGTTGAAAAAAATCAAACCGAAAAAACACCGTCAACGAACCGTTTCTCGAACACAACTATCAGCTTCTCTCAAAATTATTACTGTAATTTGGAAGAAACGACATGAATATACTAGTATTCAAGGATTCATCCCTTCGAACTTTTAGAACTTTCGGTATCCTAGAATTTATTGAGACACCTACGCAAAGCTGAAGGAAATAGCAATATCAGAATGACACAAAAGAGCGCAGTCATTAATATCCGGTATGACAAACAATTGTCACTTTGCTCCGAAGCACGAGTTTGCGTGTGGTGATGGGAGAGTTTGAAAGTCAAAAAGTTTCCGAGGATTCGGTTCTGGATTCGCAATTCCTATTTTAGTATTCCTGTAGGAGATCGCCACACATCTTAAGAAATCTCGACGAATCACAAGTGGACTTAGTCATCAACTTTTCTATTGAACATTCCATTATGTATTCGTCATTCTGTCCAGATAGCAACTAAAGAATAAACCAACAAATTTCCAAAGATACATTGTTTTTGCAGGTCTCAAAAAGACAATGTAAAACTTCTAAAGATCAATGATTCACGAGCGTATTTAATCGTCAGCATTCGATGTAACAAGCACAAGCATTGATAAGTTTCTTGCAAAACTTTATCCTAATAAATCTGAAAAAAATCAGAGGATCGACAAATCGATAAATCAGCTAATCCTAAGCTCTGTTCGAGACATTATAGCTATCGGAAACCTTTTGGTTTTAGCGGCGGGACTTGCATAACGCACCCTTTTCTCAGATTTTTTTCTTCCAAAACCGAAGGGTGGTCAGGGGTTGAACATTGTTTCGATGACCGAACAAAGGCTCTCTCGGTAAGCAGAACAAAATAGGAAAAAAAGAACAGGTCACAACACGAGGTCTTTTCTTTATATCGCTCTTTCTTTCTCTCTTTCACTCTCTTCTCTCTCTCTCTCTCTCTCTCTCTCATTCTCTCTCTCGTTTTTCTTTCCCTTAATCTTACCTCTTGGTGGCGTCGAGGAGCGCACCTTGGAAGCACTTGGCGCCATGGACGAAAGATACCACGAGGATGTCGGGTAGCGCGGATTCGACGGTCACGAGGATCTTGTCGCCCGTGGCGAGCGCGAGGTGCGCGGACGGGGCCTCCGCCGCCGCGGCCGCCATCTTGCCCCGAGTTTAAAGTTATTGCGAGCGAGCGTGCGAGTAAGCTGGTGGTGTGTGGTGTGGTATGGGCTTTGCGCTTTCCGCTTCGCTCCGCTACGACCGAGCCGACCGAGAGGAGCGAGCGGATCGTCTCGTGCCGTCGTCGCCGTCGTCTCGTGCGCCGCGCCGCTCCGCGCCGCGACGCACCGCCCCTCGTTTCTTTCTTTCTTTCTCTCTCTCTCTCTCTTGCTCTCTCTCTTTCTCTCTCTCGTTCGTTCGCTCGCTCGCAGTCTGTCTGAACCGGATGACGTGAGGAACGACGGCTGCGGCTGTGTGCGAAGACCGCGTGAGGCGGGCGGTAAAGCTTCATGGCTAGGGGGTACGTGGGGGATAGAAGTTGGTTGGCAGGTAGAGGGGACATTTAACCTGGCAGCCCACACAGCTGGCTGCGCCGTCGCCTCCGATGCGCCTGCGCCTGCTGGAGGCGGGAGGCGGCCCGCCGCGCCAGGTCTGTATGTAGGAAATGACGTTCCGGAACCACACTCGTTTTGTGGCTGTTGAACAATGCTACCAACCAATGGCAAATTTTCAGAGAAATAAATTTATGCAAATTAACATGATAACATCAACCGCCTAAGACTGTCTCTGTGACTATACCTTCCCATTCGTAAATCTTTGATTTTCCAAAGTTTTCGATCTACAATCAAAATGACGGACGAGGATGTGAGATTAGACTGTAGTGACACTGTTGCAACAATGTTGCAAACGGTATGAACGCGGCCTAGCGCAACTTCCCCATTGAAGGGCGCGTTCTCGGTGTCAGTAGCGTATAGTAAGGGATCTTATCGTGCGATCATCACGCGGTATTGCTCCATTGCTCCTTTTGGATTCGGCGCTCTCTATACATCTCGGCTCGGCACTCGCCGGCATTGAAACAGAGCGGCCGAGAACGGCCGAGCGCACCTCCAGAGGCAGCGTGTGTCTTTCACGGTAGGGTGAGTGACTAGGATTTATGCTTTAATAAAACGTTGCATAAGCGCTTCAAGGCGACGTGAGTGGCAACGAGAGGCAGATTCTTACCGGGCCCAATTTGCAGTCCGGATAGCGACATAATTCTCTTTCTTCATATCTATGTTTGACGTTTAACGTAAAAAGCAACCGGTTGATCAATTGGTTCAACCATTGTGGTTGCCGGTGCACCCTGCCGAAAAGTGGGTCGCCACTTCGACCGCAACTTTTATTTTATGAGAAAGTGAAGTCGATATTGGTTGTGACAAGTGCTGGAAGAAATAAAGTGACGCATGAGAGGAGCGTTGATAATGACACGAAAAATGCATGTGATATGTCGACATTCGTTAAGCTATGCTCACACGTTCTCATTGACAGCTGCATATAATTTAGCTTCGTTCACATTGACTAAATAATGAAAAGATGAAAATTTTCCGTTTGATCGGACCAATCTAATTTGTTCATTTAAATTAAATTGATTAATGGCAATGTGAATGAAATAAACAGGTTTTATTTAATTGCTACAATTTTTTTCTATTACTCTTATGTTGTACTTAATGATTCATAAAAAATGTTATATTGATTGATAAATAAAAAGTGTGTTGGGGCCTTTAAAATGTGTGATACGTTCTTGCACAATTAAGGTTTGCATTCGGAATGATTAGCGGCGGACATGTGAATGGCACAACATTGATAATGCACAATGACGCTTATCTATCAATTCCATCATGACATTGCAAACGATTACTCCGACTTTCACGGAATGTCTCTTTATTTTATTTTTATATAATATGATTGCTTATCAGATTTGCTTACAATTTCGGAAATTCGATCTCGTAGCTATTTTGATATAATGAGATGTAATCTAAAGCTTTCTTATACAATAAGTCTTCCTAATCCGCAACGTTCTTAAATTACTTTTTGAATAATTACTATCATTTAATTTGCAGTAGATAATTTAAAAATTGGAACCCGTATTTTGTAGCTAATAATCGAATGCGTGTAAATGCAAGTTTCTACAGTTTTGCATCTGTAATTTGAGTTGAAGAGGATTATTAAAGAAATTAAATTTGATTATCAACAAATTTATGAAAGAAAGGCGTCAAATTTTAATAATATGTCAAAATAAAAAAGATCCTCCGTCATAAAAAATTATCTTTAAAAGGTTTATAAATTTTTTAATATATATAAATAAATTTGAAAAAATATGAATATTTTAAGATATTTTATTGTACATAAAGAGCAAAACTATATATTTCTAAATAGAAATATTTCAAAGTTGTAGACGAAGTTTGTTGACGAAGAAAGATATAGAAGAAAACAAAACACAGAAAAAAATATGACGTCAAATTGGCTTAAAAATTATATTGAATAGTAAGAGACTAATTTGCGATGTCAATATCTCGAGTTCGTTCCCCGTTAAATTTTCTTTAAAGAAGGTTTCCGTGTAATAATAAGTACTAGCTTTTATCTATAACTATGCATGTTATCTATTATGCTTATTCTGCTCGTGGAAAAATATTACGTAATATTTCGATGACAAGAAGCGAAGATTGCTTCGTGTATATTAAAAATGCTCGACCGCAGCGCACTATTTTCACGCACAGAGCTCGCGCATTGAAACTATAAATATATCCTCATTTAGTCGGACTTCTTGTAACATTACGAAAGGAAGCACGGCTTATGCGAAACGTTTGATCGCTCAAAACGTTCAGCCTCCAACTTAAGATCCATTTGTATAACATTTGCAGTACGTATATCCTATTTTAGAATATTACTCTAGCGCTTTGGGACATTGTGTATAGTCTTTATCGCGCGTATATAAATCGCGAACGAAAGTTTTTGAATTTATAAATAACAGAATCAATAACATATATCAAAAAGAAAGATATTACGATGTTGCAATTTATAAAATCGACTTTCTAAATTTATAATTTATCGTAATATATCTTCCACTTTACAAATTATCTACATATTTATTGCTGATTAGAGATTTGTACTAGAGACATCTCTCAATTGGACACGATGACGAACGAGAGATTGGACCTGGACAAACCCTTGTGGGATCAAAACACCTTCGTAGGAAGATGGAAATACTTCGCGTGGATGACTGACTTCCGCACCTGCGTCAAACCAGAATCGGAATTGCTAGCTGCTAAAGTGTTATGCGAACAATACAGGTTATAATAAATATATGTCACGTAGTTTCGCGAGATTTCTTCCTTACTTTAGTAGATTCGAGGCGCACGGGATCAGTTTGAAAATTTTTAACACTGATTATAAATATCTGATATTATTATCTGTGATCTGATAATAATATCAAATATTTCTATGTGTTATACTTATTATAATACCATCTCTACCAATATTCTTAAATCAGCTGGAAATTTTAAGATATATATTTACGTTTAATTACATTTACATTAAATTGAGATTTGTTATTGAGAATTAAGACAATGAGAACGCCGTATGCATTCGATGCGTGCATTGTATTCTCGAACTGCTTGAAAATCTTCGCACTTTGTACCTTATAGAAATGGCAAAGAGCCAGCTGGTACTACCAGAGAGCAAATTATCTATGCGAGGAAGCTGTACGAGTCTGCCTTTCATCCCGACACCGGCGATCTGCAGAATGTCTTCGGCAGAATGTCCTTCCAGGTGCCGGGAGGAATGGCCATCACCGGCGCGATGCTTCAGTTTTACAGGTATTTTATAGAAAATTTGATGTCATTAAAGAAGGGATCGATGACTCCAATTCATTGGAGTCATCGATTCCTTCCAATTGGATTTCCTTTACCAATGGTTATTACAGATTTTTTCATTTGATTATATCAATAAAAAAAACCAGAAATATCTCGACAGTCAGGAAAAAGTAATTAACTTTATTTATTTAATTAATTTCAATTTTAATAAAACATGATGTTCTTATTAACTGAGCTCCTATAATTTTACTCATTTGTCAGAGAACTTGTCGCATGATCTGGAACAAGTTATCTTTTTTTTTAACATTCGATGTTGATTCGATTTAGGACAACTAAGGCAGTAGTTTTTTGGCAATGGGTTAACCAGTCCTTCAACGCCCTCGTCAATTACACCAATAGGAACGCTAACAGTCCTGTAACGACTAATCAGCTAGGTGCAGCCTATGTTAGTGCTACCGTCGCGGCCATGGTAACTGCAATAGGATGTAAAACGTATTGGGAAAAGCGCGCGAGTCCTCTAATGGCTGTAAGTTTCGTAAGAGCAATTCAGAAACTACATAAAATATTCCAGATTTTATATACATCAATATCGACGATCTTTTCTTTTTGACGAAATTTAAAGTAGTTCATTTTTATCTGTAAGTGGAGCATGTTGGATTATTTTTACCCTGTATATAATTTAAAACGGAGTATCTTGTCCCAGATCACTGAAAACCTAGATTGCTGAATACAAGAAAAAAAAACACATTTCAGAGGTACGTTCCGTTCGCCGCAGTGGCAGCCGCTAATTGCGCTAATATCCCTCTAATGAGACAGAACGAAATTGTAAACGGCGTGGATCTCGTTGACGATGACGGCAGAAAACTTACAAAATCAAAGGTATATACGCTGGTTATTCTCGAAATCTGAATCAGTGGAAAAGTATTGAAAAATCACTGATTAAGTCAGTACCTATAATCTGGCTATAATTTCACTAATAATCTATAATTAAAGTATTAATATTAATCTATAATTTATGATTACCAGTGAAATACTTGGGACTGATGCATTCAATGAATAACGATCGATAATCATTGTGACTATGCACTGATTCAGATTTAGAGAGTAATAAATTTACACAATTTTATAAAACACAAAACGCAGATAAAATTATAAATTAATTTATGTATTTTATCAAATTAACCAAGATAAATTAATATTAAAACTGTTCCAAATTTTATTAAATTCAACGCTAAACATATTAGAAATTTTTAATAAACGTTTATTAAACGATTTTAGCTCGCGGCTGTGAAAGGCATCAGTCAAGTCGTCATTTCGAGAATTGTCATGTGCGCACCCGGCATGCGTATGTATCGATCAAACATCTATCTCAATTTTAATTACTTATCGAAATTTTCTACAAAATTATTCGCAGCTTCATATAATGCATTTAGCTAATTAAAACGATAATTTCCGCAGTTATTCTACCGCCTATAATGGAAAGATGGGAAAAATACCTGTGGATGCAAAGAATTAAACCACTGCACGCGCCGATACAAATTATGATGTGCGGAATTTCGTGAGTACATTTCTTATCTTATTTTCGCCTGCCGCTTATATCATTGTTATTAAATTATTATTTTAATTACTGTGTGAATTTTTTGTCAAACATCTTAGGCTGACGTTTATGGTGCCGACGGCGTGTGCGCTATTTCCACAAAAATGGTAAACAATACTTCTATATTCTACATTCAAAAATTCTTCTTTACATTTTGTTTTTATTTTATTATACGATTTTGTAGTTCCATCAAGACCACCACTTTGCAGCGCTGGGAGCCGGAAAACTATGAGCTACTGACGAAGAACTGCAAAGGTGGCGAATTACCGACGTACTTATATTTCAACAAGGGGCTGTAATGTGATGAAAAGTTCTAGTTTTATGAGCTTGTACAAATATAAGTGTTATTCCATCCTTTATAAAGGATCGTTGTTTCAAATGACACAGTGACGGTAAACACTTCTGCTGGAACAGAGACGAACCCGAAATGAATATCACTTATTAAATTATAGTCAATTATATGGTAGAAATATTTTTTGAATTTGTCATTAAAAATTTAGCGCACAGCTTTTTCTTATGATTTGAAGTATGAAATTTTGAATGTCGCACCGATATTAATAATAATATTTAAATTAGCGTTTAGTACGTCAATTTTTTAAAAATTAGAATTTAGTCACAAATTCACAGAGTGATGATAAAATAAAATTCAGTCGACGCACTAAAGTATCTTACAATAAGAGAGAAGTCGATAGCCGCACGAATCAGGATAGAACCGATAGATAGTAAAGGATAAAATGTTGACAATATAAATTGGTGCTTTACCGATTACATATATAATTACGAATTGTTATGCGAGTTTTATTTCACGCTTAATTGTTCCTCTCAGGGCTCTCAGGTCTTAACGTTAATTTATAAGTTTCGTAGCATTTTAATGCATCATTATACTTAAGCACTGAAATATTACTTAATTTTATGGATATTATTAAATTTTGAGAAGCCTGTCGAAAGTAAAATGCTGCCATATATAGTGATACAATAAAAAAACTTTAATACACATATAATTGATGAAAGATATAGTATTATATCATGACGTTGTGTCAATAAATGTTGTTCAATAATGTTGAAGAGCTATTATTTTGCCCTTACACAGCTTTAACCTATAATTTGATATTTCGGATGTACAAAAACTGCAAACACAGATTAAATAGAAAATCTAATAACATGTGTATATTTATACAAAGTAGAATGTAAATTTCATTTTTATTTATACCGGCTACAATCCCTTGTTATAATAAACTTTATCCGGATGTTTGCGCTGACCCATTTTCTCTCGAAATATTTCGTACTCCTCCGGATATATCTTTAACAGCTCCGGCTGCATCGAGCTTAATGGGGGAAAAAAATGTTAACATATAATATGTTTCCCGATTAAAAAAAAATTCTTTTATTATTCAAAAATATTCATTATTAATTTCAATCTTTTTTTTTTACTTTTTTTGCGGAAAAATGGCGAGCGCCGAAGGGATCATGACCAACAAACTGAAGAGAAAAACAAATATTTATTAAAATACTCGCGCCAAAAATATACTTTATCAATATTAATTCACATTTGTGTTTGCGCAACGGCATCGCTGTGAGAATTACCAGAGTGTGCATAAACCGATTTCGACGGGAAAAATGATCCACGGACGAAGCTGAAAGAAGCAATACGATTTCATTCGTTGCGTGATGACTGGGATCGTCAGCATTCCGGGTGCGGCCATTATTATCCTCGTGAGGATGCACTCGGAGATACCCTTGACGGCGGCCAGCTGCGACTTCATCACGCACACTTCGTCGTCGTTCTTCATGAATATGGGAATGCCTCGTGCGATCTCTCGTTGCCTCATGATGGGGAGATTTACCATGTTGCCGGCGGCCACCGCGCAAAACGGAACGAATCTCTGCGACGAAGGCAACCTCTCAAACTACTCGGACTCTTTATTTCTCGATTATAATTATAATTTTCCGGTATTTAAAATTAAAAAATTCTAATTCCTAATAAATGATAATTATAAGAAATGGAAAAATTAAAAAATTTCGAGGTTACAGATTATATTGAATTTTCAGCCTTACACATAGTTTTATCAGTACTCGTTTATATACTACTTTATACGTAGGAGGATTAAATAATTAATTGACATCCTTTGACCGTCTATTTTCTATTTGCATCAAATAAAAAGTTCAAAAAAGGATGGAGAAATCAGATTTTGAGTGAATTAACTGCGAAGAGAGTTCCTCTGCCGGAAAACAGTTTCCTGAATCCCAAAGCGGCCACGCAACTCGCCGCGGTGGCGAGCACGAACGCCTGCCGGATAATGTCAGTGTCCTGCGGGTCGTCGCTCATCGCATTTCGATTGGTATAATTGACAAATGCGTTGAAGCCCTGATTAACCAGCTGGCACGCTATCACGCCGAAGGCGGATCTGACGGAAATATATCGCGCACGATAAAAATAGAATCGAACGGGAATTGATCGGGAGTTAATTTGTGCGCGTGGGACGCATTATTTGTGTAGAAAGTTAACTTGTAGAAGGTCAACATGACGGCGGTGATGGCGACGGAAGCGGGTAGCTGGAAGGACATTCTCCCTATCACATGCATGAGCTCGCCGTTATCGGGATGGAAGGCGCTGTCCCTGAGCTTCTTCGCGTAGATTATGTCCTTTCTCTGCAGTCCCTCCGGCTCCTTCCCTGCTCTAAGTAACGGTTTAGCAATTAAATAGTTGAGCATTTATTATTTCTAATTGAAATAATAATAAATTTAACTTTTTTTAAAAACAAAAATAATGTTTTATTAAAATTAGGTTTAATAACCTTTTTTTGTAATAAACTTGATTTTATCAAAATTGAAACGTTAATTGAAGGGCTTAATTCGGAGAAAGAAAGAGGGAAAGCTTTACCGTCGCAACTTACTTGTAGTCCTCGCAGAGCTTTTTTGCTTCCCACAATTTATTCTCCGGCACGACTATCGTGCGGCAATCGGTGATGAAGGCGAAATGCATCCATCTTCCGAGATACGTGTCCTGGCTCCAAAGTGGTTTATCGATGTCAATTCTAGCTTCGGATTCAACTCCAAGATCGCCGTTCTTCTTCTTCATTGTTAGATCAACTAACTGTGTGTCTCTCTCGTTATTCGAGGATTTGTTTCACTCAAATTTACGATTAAAAATATTAGCGTAAGTAAAAATATACGTACGCAAAAATAACAATCGCAATAAAGCAGACGAGACTTTGTTAAATAAAATTTTGAGACAGATATACTGACAGTTTTAGACAAATTAAGCACAAAAGGTGCGTGTTAATGTCGATATAATTTCCGGCATCCTTTGTCTCATAGCGCTTATTTATTCTGTCTAACATAAATGACACTCTGTCACAACAGTATTTGACAGTATCGTAAATTTATAATCGAAATCCTTGATATAAATTATATAAAAAGATAGAGCATACTATGCGGTTTTCTATATTACATGTCAATGGTTGAGAGAAAAAGAAGCAAGACTGGTTTCATTCCGTTATTCGTTGTTTTGACAACCATATCTTTGTATGTACGTATGTACATACTTTCAGAACATATAACAAATGGCGATATGTCAAATGTACAAAAAGTATTATTTATTCTAAAATTAATTATAAAAACAATTTTATTGTATTCTTTAATGTTTTTGATAATATTTGTTTGTTTAAAAATCTTTGACTGAACATAGAAATCGAAATTATTATTTTAAAAATAATAATAATAATAATCGCATAATTAGAATTTAAGAGATTCGTTTTTGTGGTGGAGATAAATTATAAGATTAAAAAATTGTTTGTAAAGATTTCTCCCACCCTTCATAGAGATTATTATCGACTACGATTGTGATTAAAATTTGATATGTCGATCCGCATTACGATCATTTATTTAGTCTTATGATCCTGGGAATTCAAATGTCCACGGCCCGATATTATAAATATTTCGGTTACCGGATACACGCGTGGGTGATTATCTTATCGGAAGAGAATAGCGAAATCGAGAAATCACCGAACCGATCTTTCTCGAGCCTTCCCTCCGGAATGTCTTACAACCCGGCCGATGAGGAAACTAATTTGTTGTATCCGGCCGGAAGTTACGAGTATTTGGAACGATAAAAATTATTGGGTGAATTTGCAGCCTCGCAGTAATGACTGTGCGAAAATAAACTGGGACTTGAGCAAAATCGAATTCTGGGAGCATTTGCTTCCATCATCCCAAGCAGTGGATTTGCTTATCCACTCCAAGGCAATGGATTTTTGAGAGATTATAATTATTTCTTTGATATTTTTATTCTCAATGTACACTTTTGACTTTTAAGTAAATTAGAATTATAGAAATAAAAATAATGCATTCAAATATTAACTAATAAATAAGAATAAAAAATATAAAATATTATTGTTGCATTTACTAAATTACTACCTTAAAAATTTTAATCTTTATTTTATTATTAATAATCAACAAAAAAACTGTTATATACAATTGATATATGTATAGTTTTTTCTCACAAATCCATTACCTAAAAATTAAAATATTTTAAGACTCACCAGTCCTCGATGCGCAGCAGCGGAGAAATAATATTAATCTGTAAAATATAAATAAATTCAAACATTAAAAAGCCGTGTCTAAAAAAATGTATCTTAAAAAATTCTACATGTTAAACTTTCTATTTGTTTTCTTTTAAATGAAACAATAAAAAAGATTACATTATTTTAAAAAAAGTGATTCTTTCAGATATTAATTTTTACAATTTTTACAATTAAATAAATCTAATTCTTTTTCTTTCATATTCTAAACAATTTCATAGTCTAAATAATTTCAAATCAATCAATCATTTTAATCTGCCGTAACATTTTCAAATATTTTATATTAAGCAGGTGTATTATATTTCTTCAATTTCTAATAAATATTATTAACATTCTATTAATATTTTAAGTATCTCAAAATAAAATTTGAAATTGATTTGACAGATTGATATAAAAATTGAAGCATTACGTAAACAATCAACTTGAATAAAAAAAAAGTAAAACATTTAAATAATATACATATGATATAGTATATAAAATAAAATAAAATAAAATAATACGTTATTATATATATATGATAAGTTGCAGATCCGATACCGGTGTAATTTCGTCAAGCTCAATTTGCACCGCTTACGGTACGCAAGAAAGGACATTAATGTCGAGCGTTGCGATTCGATGTCTTCGAAAAAAGTATTAATAAGACTCATTATTGCGCGCCTGTGGTATCCGAATTTGAGCTCAGCGCAATGACACCGATATAACCTTCAATTCAATTACAATAACACTCACCCATGGTTGCCCCGCCGTTGCCTGATGCCACCCCGGGTCTGCTCCTCCTCTCTCGCTTCGCCGTTGCTCCCGATTCCTGCCTCCTGGGGCACACACTATGCACACCCCCCCCCCCCACACACACTACACACACGCGCGCGCGTCACGAACAACACTTCGCGGATCAGGATTAGCCATTATCTCTTTCTACACGGATCTAACTCCCGTCGATCATCGCGCACGTATGTACGTCGCCCCTAATCGCGCCTCGTTAAACCGAAGAACGGAGGAATATAACGCGCGCGGAAATCTCGCTCGCGTAATCCGCCCGACGCGCGCCCCGGCCCGTGACGACTAATAACAATAATGCTACGAATTCGAAATGTGACCACTAATAACAATAATGCTACGAATTCGTAATAAAAATTGATAGATCGCGGTGGCCCGCAACTTCACGCGCGACGCGCGACACTTCGCGGCTACCGGCGTCGTCCGTCACGGCGACGCTGCAGCACCTGTTGCTCCCGTACGTGATTCGACCCGTCTGTACTTTTTATATGGCATTCTTTGCTAATTTTGGTTTCAACTTATGCAATTTTTATTCATAGACAAACATAATAACAGAACTACAAAAAGATCTCTGATCGAGTGAATCTTCGATTATTTTTAGGTATAATTATAATAAAATCTGAAGCATATATATTGAATTCAATTTATAACGGGAAAATTAGAGATTAAAAGAAAAATTAGGTCAAACCGACACGAAGATGAAAATTAATGATTCACTTTGGCAATAAGCATCCGTCTCGGCGCAGATAATATTTACTACAATTATAATTTACTGTATTTATTAATCCATTTGTTGATTTTATTTATCAAATCGTTATGGTTTCACTTACGAAATTTCGAAATCTTAGAAATTATTTAAATAGAGTTGCGAGAATTTCTTGCCCGTTTCTGTTCGCACACGTGAATTTCGCGTTCAACGTCCTGAGAGTAACAGAAATGTAAATGTAAACGCGGAACACGATCACTCGCCGCGAAGCTCTTATATCGGCGAGACAATAAAATATTTTGAAAAATATTGACGCGGGACGTATTCGTCTTCTAGGATTCTCTGCAAGTCGGTAACCACGATAATAAATCAGTCGCGCACTTGACGAGTACTGGTAACGGTGTTAATATCATAAATTCAAGTTTTTCTAAGACAATAAATACGATAACTGATTGTGGGACAATATATAAATACGGGACTGGATTATGAAATGGACATCTTACAGACTTCCTCACAAATTTTCTTTACCTTTCTATTTGTATACGCTACCTTATTTATACATTATTTGGTTAGTTTTTTACTTTCAAGGATGTTTGTTTATATTCAGGAACCTCTACTAGAATAAAATAATTAGCAAACAGACTTGGAAAATTTCTAAGCGACACTGTAAGTAAATTTTGACCTAATATCTTATGTGACACGAAGCTTCGAAGTTCATTAAATGTATATCTGTAATATTTTTTTTTTGACAGCGTTAATTCGATTTATTCCATAATTTGACGCAAACAACTGATAACGAAATGGAAGAAAATGACGAAATAGAGACTTTAGATATCATTATTGTTTTCTTGTTCGTACTTAATTTCTTAACGCATCATTGGTTCTGATACGGTTCTACCTTCTTGATTTAAGTGATCACGCTTAAGTTCACCTAAATTTTATATTTAAAAGAGATAAGACAATTGGAAATTATCCAAAGGGATTGAAAAATTTCCACGAGATCGGTAAGTTTTAATCTCGAATTCATATATTTGTGCATGAAGTTTGGAGCATTCATTGACTGCATGATAATAATCTCGTAACGGAAAAGGAATAAAGGTGAAAGAGACCCAGGGATTAAAGGTACCTAAAGATTAAAAACACCTAGATTTGGATTGTGTTCGCTATTTGAAAAGAAATACGATTGATTATCTAGCATTCGTCTCTGCGCGGTTAATTTTATTTGTTCAAAAAATCAGGTTTTCTTTCAAAAGTCAGTACTCTCAGAATTCATTTCGATAAAGTTGCTTAAAACGGCAGCTGCTCCTTCGCTTTCTATACACGCACACAAATTCAAATTTCTGAGAACGATAAAAATATAAATGTAAACGCGCGGACGAAAACGCAATCGCGCTTTGAAACGTAGCGCAGCTCGAGTCTTGAAACGCCAATCTTGGATAAACATTGACGTGAAGAAGCACGTGTAAAATTCATAGGGCCCTTCGAAATCGTTCGTACAATCGAATCGCTATACAGTGCGTGCTGTGTTAATGTCGAACTGAGTTTCGTTAGCTTAAAAAGCGAGAATTGCATCACTAACAGCGAAATGAAAGCCTTGGGCGAAATGTATGCAATTCTCATTTTCGTAACCGTTCTAATTGTTCTGTTGCTGCCTTTCTGCATTAATATGAGAATTACGAATAATGTTAAGGAAAACGTTAGTTTCCGTTCTAAATTAACTATTCAGATCCGTCTACAAGGATGACATTTGGGAAATATTCGAAAAGATTTACGAGCTTATTATAAGTAAATCTTGAAGTGACACTTTCGCGCGTAAGACGGAGTACGCATTAAACATCCAGTGATTTTGTAGCGATTTTGTAGGGAAAGAAGAAATTAAGATAAATTAAAGACGAGATAAATTCGAATTATTGGATATAAAAATTATGGTAAATTTATCGAAAGAAATATGATCGTTCTCACATTTTGGCAACGATCATCTCTGCATAAATGATTTTATATACATCAATTCGCTACAATTCTCCTTTGAAAATTAGTAGAGACTAGAGAGTTCGTTTATAAAGTGGCTTCAAAAAAGTAAGTTGCTATTCTCAGACGAATTCGAAGTTATTTCGATTAGTTTTCATCATTTTCAACGTTAAATACTGGAGGTTCAATTTATACAAAATTAAGTTTATATTAAACTAAGGCTCGTCTAAAATTATTAAAAAAAAATAAAGTTTACTTATTTACAGCTTAATTTGTGTGTGTGTCGAGAAATGTTCTCTCTATTAAATAGCTAGTACCTAAATCTAAGTTTTTGAAGAGAAGCAGTCAATTTCAAACTCGTCGAAGAATACATTATAACGATTCTCATATTTTCCAAATCACCTTCTATTCACCTTATCCCATTTCCTTTATTGCTCGGGGCTAACGGCAGTTATGTGAAATACATTGAGATGTTTACGAAATCTTACGATTTGATATATCCGTTAGATGTACTTCAAGATTTCGATAGAATAACATTGTCGTTTTCATGTGTACTCGGTCGCATTGCGAGAAAAGAGAAGACCGAAGACTGACGCAGACTCGAAACAGCACATTGAAAAAGTTATATAAAATCAGAGCTAACAACAGCTTCCTAACTAAGTCGGTACTCGACGGACAGTGTCTAAGAGGTAGTAGCAGCGATGCTTTCTTTACGTGGTCGACATAGTTTCTCAGCTTCCTCCTCTTCTTCTCCTCCTCCTCACCTAATCAGTTCTTCCGTCCGCCACGTCTCTTCATCGAGGACGTACACTGAGGGCAGTACCACTTCCCCTTGGGAGGCGCGGTGATGCCCACGCACGGATAATGGAACCATTCGAAGGGGCACTAAAAGCAATCGTTATAAGTCTATCCGCTTGTAATGTATCCGCCTGCTGGAAGATGTCGACGGGTCTTACGTCTGAATTGTCACAGGCAACCATATCGCCGTACGACACTTGATTGCATATGCAATAGCGCGGCTCGTTTGGATCGTACGTCCAATCCGGATTGTCCGGGTCTACCACTTGCGTAGTCGTGGTAACCACCGGCGGCGATACGGGCTGTTGCACTGTAGCCGCAATCACGCTCGAACTCGGTACGGTGGCCGTTACTTTTCTGGAATTCGTAATAGCAATGTGTTTGTTTAGGCAATTACAAGAAATTCTTCCACAAGATAAAGTTTGAAAAAATTGTAGAGCATTCCTAATTTAACGAATTTCGAATCCAAAGAGTATCGAATCACTTTAATCTGTCAAACATTTATTTTAAAAGCAATATGATTCAATATAACTGATCTCTAATCCAAATTGTTGAAACTTAAAGGGAGCTTGTCATATTAATGAGAGGCAATTTAGTTGCTGTTTGTTTCTTCCTTTTACACATTCTACATACTTTTTATGCTTCTTCGTAGTCTCTTGGATGGCGGCGATGGCGGTTTGCGCCGCGCCGGCCAGTTCCCTGCTGAATTCCGCGGCGTGCACGCCGCCGGTGTTAATGGCCTCGTAGCTTGCCTTCAGACTGGCCGAGCGTCTGCCCTGCTGCATTGATTGCGTGGCCGCTATCGCCTGTGACGCGGCTGCCGCGATGGCGGTACCGCCGGCGCCGATGTGACCAAGATTGTAACATACCGATCCCACAGAATTAGCAATAGCCGCCGGCGCCGGCGCGACGCTACTCGCTGCGATAATGGGCGCGGAATTCGCTGACGCCGGTCGTGATTCGGGCAGACTCGTTGTCGCCGGCAGCTTCTCGATCGCCAGCCTCTTCTCGACCGACGTGGAAGATGCGTTAGAGTCCCGTCGCTTCTCCGACCGAGCTGAAATTCGCGTAAAATTTGGAGATTACATCTACCTAGATATCGTTGTACACTACAATTTTATTCCATTTACAAGTTCATAATTAATGTTAATGACTTTTATGTGGATTATCCTGAAGTGTCCTAATAATGTCGAGAGTGGTTTCGTGAATTTAACATAGTACCCTATCTTTTGTTTTTAACAATTCAAATCCGTTTGAATTAAAAGTGAATAAAAAATTCGCATTAGAGATGTTACACTTACAATGGCTATGATTATCTCGCGTTCTGCTCGGGGTAAAACTGTAACGATTTTCTTTCTGGCTGCTATTCGTGGGTGGCTGGTCCAACTCTAGAGACCTCTTTTCCAGGATTTCGGTGATGCCCTTATTGTCCGCCTCCAATTCCATTTTGAACTTGTACAGCTCTTGATCGAGCCTCCTCAGGTACCTGTCCACCAATTCGTACATCTGATTGGCTAGGTGCACCTTCTCATCGGCATCCTCCAGAGTCTTGTAGTACTCTTTTCTGATAGCCTCGTACTCCGCCTCCTTTTCACTGGGCTTCATCTTCTTGGCATTGGTAAAGAACGTTTTCACTTTCTTCTCCAGGCTATCCACAGAATCTGAAAGTGGATTTGACGTTTATAGCTTTACATTGTCGTTATTATCATAATTATTTTTTTTTAACTGTTATATCAAACGATACGTACTTTGTACACCGAGATCCATCTCCCTCATTTCGGTAAATCGATCCCTTAGCTCTTGTGGAAGATGCTCGATCACTGAAACCCATAAGACAGACATCAGTAAAGACAGATTGTTGCTTTTCAATTTCAATATACAATTATGCCCGAACTGGTCATTAATCACAAATTGTTTATTTCTATTTCTAAAATAATCTCTGTAATCAATACAATGTAACGAGTCCTTCGACTGTTATGTAATTTTATATTAAACCATTTAATATACTAGACTATTGCTTCATTCGCAAACAAATATTAAGTTCACAGTCAAATCTCAGTCCTTTTAGAATTACAACATCTTAATACTATTAATCTCCTCATGTTACATTAACAAAACAAAACAAAAACAGCAATACATTGCTACTATATGCATATTAGAATCATACGACTCAACAGGGGGAAGGATTTTTAACAAATTTTTAATTAATTCTGGAAAGATAATGAAATTTAATGACCAGCGGGCCGTGGATTTAAATAATTCATTAATCGCTTTTTCGGCAGCAGCAACATGCGTCTCGCCGTGGGACAACGCGCCTAACCTCTCGGCGCGAGGTCGCATCTCGCCAGGGTGAGCGGCGACTTCTCGTTCCACGGACGGGTCGCGACTCGGCGCGCAAAAGGAGGCGCCGAGTCGCGGCCCGCGGAGTATAAACAAAAATGGTTGCGCTCGCCGCGGGCCCGCGCGGACGAGAGTCGGGCCGCGGACCGCGGCGCTCCAGGTTCTAGGTTAGTCGCGCGCCACGCGTGGAGGTTAGGATCCCGCGGGCGAGCCGTGTGCGCGCTGCTTCTCGTACGCACTTTCGACGTAATCCTCGAGGTAGAGCATTTTCCCGCGCCGCCGATCAGCCCGCGATTGGTATACTTGACTAGGTACTCCGCCGCACGTAGCCGGGGTAGCCGCAGAATTCCGCGGGAGCTCGCAGGGAAACGCGCGCCGCCCGTCCCGTGCCGTGAGCGTGCTCGCGCCGCGCATCCGCCGACCACTCCGCGTCCGCGACTTTTCGGAGCGCTTTCGGCGTTTTTGGCTCCCACCAGCTGGAGCATTCGGCTGTGATCTCCTGGGGGAGTGCGATTGTCGTTCACGGCGGCCGAAATTCGCCGAGAGCGACAGCGCGGTTCGAACGAGGCGAGCTTTTTGATTTGGAATTACATATTTGGAGCATCGTCCGATCATCCGTGGTATGTATGTGCCTCGCCATGTTGCGCGAGCGACACCAGGGACGTAGCTCGAGCAGCCAGGATCAGGGGAATATATTTGTTCTCCCTCGTCCTTGATTAATTCTAGTCGATTGCGGGGAATTCCAAATCGTACCGATTTAACTTTGGAACGCTTGGAGTTTCAACGAAATTCGCGCTCCTAAATATTTATTGAGGAAAAAAGTTAGGAAACGAGGTTTTTTTTTCTTTTCAATGTGCACATTTGTATTTATTAAACTCGTCCTTGAATCGATCCTACGGCGCGTTTCAGGGGTCGCATAACTATTCGTCAATTTCCAATTTTTTTCCAGTTTTAATTAAGTTTCGAGAATATTCGTTATGCATTAAAAAAAAATGTGCCATAATCCATTTTTTTTTTTTCAGCACGATGATACGACGAAGTCCGACTCGGATAGAAATGCGTCTGGACGATCTGCAGGTGTACGAGGAGATAAGGAAAGCGCACGAGTCCAAGAAGGATCCCGAGAGAAAGGCTTCGTCGTCCATGAACCCGCCCGCATGGGGCGGCAAGCTACCTCAGAGCGAGATTCAGGAGCGCATCGGTTACGTGCCGCAACATCCGATCGCGCACAATCGGGCCGCAACATAGCAGTCGACTCCGGATACGAATCGCAGTACGAACGAACGGTCGAATTATGCATTCCAACATAATTCTGATTTCGAACAATTGGGTCACACGATTGGGTTTGCGATTCACACACGCGATGTATTTACGCAAATTACGGCTATTTCTTTTTATCTGGCGAATCGGCTCTCTGCAATTAATCACACATCGGTTATGATCGAGAAATCATTAATCCTAAGAGAGCAATTTTTACAATATTATGTTGTTTTTATTTACAATGTAACTGCTATGAGTGAAATATAATACAAGGGTTAATGGACGATATCCACGTTCTTCTTCTTCTTCTTCATCTTCATTGGCATGGGTCCTGGCATTTTGAATACCGTGCTTAAAAAAAAAGTACAATAAATTCACAATCAACGTTTATGTGTGTAATTTTAAGCATGTGGTATAAATTTATACATGAGCTATATAGAAGTATACTTACTGACAAGTGGTGCATATTGGACTGAACTTGCAGAAGACTGTAAAAAAATAATTATCTTTTTAATGTCAATAAATTCAACAATGTTTAATGTAATTATTTAAATGTTTTTGTTTTCATTATTTCACATTAAAATATTCTTGACGTTATTCATCAGATTATAATCTATATGCTTACTTGATAAACATATGGAACAAACGTATCCAATATCGATAAGTTCCTGATGGCAAAAGCAGGCTGCCCTGTAATCCACCTTCACTGGCGGAGGGAGAACCAGTTTCGATCTAACATTGGGATCCGGCAGGAAAACCCACTAAATTGTTTAAAAAAAAAGAAATATATATTAATCATGGTGCATATAATAATTGTGTTTGCGTCAACAAAATGAAGCGTAATCAATTCACCAATAAATACTGCAGCAATCCAGCAAGCTGCGGCACCTTCAGGTAATTGCCGCCGGTGATGTCGCAGCCCTGCTGCAAGAGTGTCAGCTCCTGATCCAGGCTGCATACATCCAAAATGACATTCTGGAAGTAGCCAGGTGGACCTCTTTTATAAACCGACAATTCTGTCTACGATAATAATAAAGAATAGAGATAAGAACCATTCTCTGCGCGGTGAAGAATATGTTCATGTAGTTCATGTACTGCGTGGCCGAGTCGTTGCTGGCAGTGATCACCAGTATTCTGGGATGCAGCTTCTGGCCGGCGATCTTCTCTCGCTCCAGCCGGGCGATGTAGCACAACGCCATGCTGAGCGCGCCGGAGATGAGACTCTCCGTGTGCAGCGGAACGTCCATGGGGATCTCATTGATGACCTGCTGCAACTGCTGACGCACCGTGCGCTCCACCATAGTGAACTTCTCGTACTGCCCGTCCATCTGCCTTATCTCCGCTGCGTTCTCACAGGGATAGAGGAAATTAGCGTTGTGGCCGTGGCACGCCATTATCGCCAGTTCATTACTGGACGACTGCATGAGGTGAGCGTTGGCAAAGACAACCGTGGAGTCCAAGCATTGCGACAGTACCTTTGTCTCTTGCTTCACTATACGCTGCATCGGATTGACATCCAGAATGATCACCAGCAAGCTCGTCTCTATTTCTGAAGATTTACAAGTGAATGAATACATGGAGAGCAAACAGAGAGAAAAATAATTGCAATTTAATTTTATGAAATAATGCTCTTGAATATAGTAATGTAACAATAATATGTATTAACGCACCAAGCGACATTTTGCTGAAATTCTCTCTCTTTCTTAAAATATAACTTTCCTTCTAGAAAATTTCTTTTATTTCTCTATTTTAATAATAAAGATTCTCTATAAATCTTTCTCTAATTCTGTTATTTATTCCAATTATGCATAGAGGGTGTTTTTGGTTCAACCTCTCCACGAGGTTATATGACGCCTTCCTACATCGCCGTCGACGCCGTCTCTACGCTACGAAAACCCGTTTCCCGGTTTCCGGCAAGCTGACGACGCGTGTCTTATACGAGACAAAAAGGTAATTATTTAGTTTAGCACACATCACCTAAAAAAAATCGATCAAATTATCGATGTGTTTTCGTATGAAACGAAAGAATCTGGCAATTAAAATAAAAGTCGTGCGGCACTCCGAGATGCGAGATATTTATTGTTAAAATTCGCGACTGTGTTTAGGTTAGAAAATCTGTCACTCCGATGAAATGTAGCGACATCTGCGACACGAATATACTCAGTACTCTGTGGTAACGTGCGCATGCGCTTTAATTAACTGTCGGTACAGGAGTAGAGTGCACGAAATTTAAAGACACCGATAGAAACGCAACAACGATCAGCTGATTGTAGACGCGAAACCGCATGTCACACGCATGACAGGCCTACTGGAATTTAGCCATTTAACGTGTATAATCATGTAAAATTGATCGATTTTTTGAAATACAGCATGCTGTGTTAGCATCTACGATAAAGTGTAGCAAATGTGGCAATGATATATGTTAACATAATTATAATAAAGAACGTATATCGATGTGTGGAAAACAGTATACTCTGTGAAAATTATGGTAAGCAATTGCAGGATAAATATGAGTATTGTGTATCATATATATATTGTATATATATGAATACTAACAATAAGTACAATTTATGAATAAGCAATATACAAATAAATATTATATGTAGATAAATTTATTACTTAATAAATTTATTATTATTTATACATAATTAATAGTATATTTAATAAACAAATATTATATTATTAAAAAATTCTTAGTATTGTTATATCGAATTAAATTATATGTAAACAATTGTACAAGTTAAACTTAACACAATTTACTAGCAACAAAAATCGACGTCTCGTTCATGTTCTTCGGAAGTTAACCACGGTTTATAAACGTGTCCATCGGCTTCTTTGCTAGCCATATACGTGAAAAACGTTCTCTTGAACGATACGGAAGGAAACTTTCCCTGTTCCATGGTATTCCACATCATACGGGCGTAAGAAACGCGCGTTTTACGTACATTGCTATGGAATGTCGCTCTGACATTTTCAATCTGCTCGAGAGAGAAACGTGGATTAATAATTATTTCAAATTGAAAAATAGAAAATGGAGTTTAGGACTCAACGATTTACGAAATTGACACTGACAATCGTCAAAAAGTAAAGGAGGAAAAGTTCGGGAAACAAATTGTAAATTTAAAGAACATTTATGAATTTTGTATTTAAATTTGTAAATAATGAGAGTGACAATTGATAGTCAACCTTCTCCTTTATCTTCTCGGCTTGATTATAAGTCAACATCTTCAGCTGATGTATCGTCATATGTAATGATGGTTTCTCGACTATATGCGCTCGTTTATTTATTAATTCCCAAATGGCACAGGTTGCTTGCATTAAATTTTCTAATAGGGAAAGAAAACAATAAATTAAAAATAATAGGAAGCAATTGAAAATAACGATGTCTTTTCTGTCAGTGAAGTACTTTTGTCCGTTTCCGAGAAAACAACACCTTCCCTGTACATAAGCCAATCCTGAAGCTGCGGCATTAGATGACATTTCGGCAATTTGGCGAATGTATAACCCTCTGCAGCCATTTTCTTCAATTCGGCCTAATATTTTATATACATAATAAGTAAAAATCTACACTGAGAAAAAAAATTATTTAAAACAAATAAATATGTTTCAGGTACCCCTCAAAGAAATAATTTTCTTGAAGCAAGTAAAATTTTTTTGTTTTAAGTAAAAGTGTTTGCACTGAGAAAAAAAATTACTTAAAACAAAAAAATTTTACTTGCTTCAAGAAATTATTTTTTTGAGGGGTACCTGAAATATATTTATTTGTTTTAAGTAATTTTTTTTCTCAGTGTACTAATATGTGAATATTAGTACAACTAATAATAGAAATAAAGCCCTATTTGGCCCAAAAATTGTTTGGATTCTAAGAATTTTAAATTCTACAATAACTTGATCAATATTATTGATATCATATTTATTCAATAGATAATGATATCAATATACAATGAAATTATCTGATTAAAAAGATCCACAAAAATACCTTCATTATCGTTTTAAGATCAGATTTGTTGTTTATATATTTCTTATCGGCACCGCCTTTTATCCGATGACTCTCATTATCAATCTTTTCTTCTGTCCTTTCGATCATTTGTTTGTATGATACATTTTTCTGATGATCAACAATTTCCTCGGAATATTTATTTTCACGAATTACTTTATCAGTAATTTCTTTATTTGCGCCTCTTTCATGTACTATTTTGCTGCCAGTTTTCTTGTTTAATGATTGTAATCTCATTATTTCTGTGGACGTTCCCTTCTTAATTATACTTGTATGATTGTCCTTTATATTATCTTTTCTTTTATCAATATTTTTTGTCAATTTGTGCTCGTCGAATGCTTCTTGGCCATTGCGAGTCGTCAAAGATGCATCTTGCTCGTTCTTATCCTCATAAATCAGCTTAAATGCTTCGTCTCTAACTCTCTTTCTACGCTCCATTTCTTCCTTTAAGGCAGCATCCTTTCTCGGCAATGGACCTGGTGGAATGTTCATTGGCGACCAGTGTCGATGCAAAGCAGCGGTTGGCGAAATATCCTCTTCACTAGATAAGGGTGTTTGGAAAGGCGTAGACATTTTCAGGCCATCGATTATTTTCTGAGATGGCAACATAGAAATATCTTCTGCCACACCTGATATATAATATTTGACGTCGTCTTTTTCATCTTCCCGCGGGGTCCTCTTCACGTCTGCTATAATAAACTGCTTGTCCTCTATCATCGGTCTCGAGATGTCGGCAATGTGCGTGAAAGATTGCTTCTTGAAAGTCTTCAATCTTCGTTGGCAATCCTTCCATTTAGTTTTTTCTTCATTTTGCTCCACAATCTTTCTCTTATATTTACATTCACACACGGGCTTTACCACTTTCAATCTGCAAGGTCTACAACAACATTTTATGATATAAATAATTCGCTAATATTATTTATGTTTGAATGATATGTTGGAAATTAGATATTAAATGTCAAATTAATAATAAAACAATTAATTATGAAGCAATATGACTAATTATTGATAATTTAAATTTAATGCTGCAAATTTGAAAGTATTAATGAGATTAATATAATGAATATTTAATAATTTTAATAATTATTAAGTCAATCTTTTTTTACATATGCATTTACCTGGCACTTCGAGCAAACTTCCTGCAGGACGTCCGGCAAGGAGCGTTATCGTCGCGTTGTGTAAAATAGTTTATCAACGCTGTATCCTTCAACGCTGTATTTCGTCTTTCCTCCGGCGATTTGAAGTCCATCAAATCCTTTCTCCCGCCTATTTTCCTTTCCACCAGACCACCTACGTTATACATAAGAATCTTTTTCTTTTCTCTGTTCTCCTTACATTGGCACGGTCGTCCTTCAAGACGAACTGCCATCATCTCTAGAGGATAATCCGGCTCGCATAGATAAGCCAGAGTCTTCTTCCCCGCAAGTTCTTGCTCCGACTTTGTTTTCCAACCGCAGGGACCGTTTTTTATTTTATATCTCTCTTCTTCGTCGTCGGCAGCAAAATCGACTATGTTCTCAATTTTCTTTTCCGGATTATGACTAATTGCCGGATTATGACTAATTTTCTTTTCCGGATTATGACTAATTGCCGGATTATGACTAATTTTCTTTTCCGGATTATGACTAATTGCCGGATTATGACTAATTTTCTCTTCCGGATTATGACTAATTGCCGATAATTTTTCTGGGAGAATCGCCGGTTGAATGTCATCTAAGATCCCCGCGGAAGATTTGAACTTATTCTTCAACCTCGTCAATTCTCGCTTACGATTTTCGATCACCTCAGTTTGATCTACAATATTTTTGTTTCTAGTTTTCTTTACAGAACTGTGTTTGGTCACCTTATTAATTTTGTTAGGTCGTTTTGTTGGATTGTTAGGCAATAATGACTTTATTGGTTGCTTGTTTATCGTTTTAGATATTGTCGTCGATCTGGAAATTGTACTTGACAATTTCTTTTTATTATTTGTAATCTTCTTTAAAGATATCGGTTCTTTTTTCTCGTTTTTTATATCTTTTGTTCTTTTTTTTTCTTCGCTCATTTCTTTTGGGGAGTTCTTTGATGATTTTAAGAATTCTTTGTCATTACTTTTCTTATCTAAAGCATCATTTTTAATTTTCTTTGATTCCTGCAAGGAGAAAATGTCATTTTGCATTTTTAATGGCGAACGAGTTGGCCATGCTGGAGGTGTCAACTTCAAGTTTGCTTCGTAATCGGTTGCCGAGGGAGCAGTTCGCGCTATGTTCCACGGATTGTGATAAGCAGAATAATCAGAATCAGTAATGAATTTATCTTTCTTTTTCTCCGTAATATCCTTTTGTGAAACGGTAGTATTTTCTTTAATTGCTTCAATGGATTCTGTCTTTTCTTTTACTTCTTTTTCTTCTTTTTGCTTTTCTATTTTTCTCCTCTCCATCTTTATTATTTCCTTTATAAAAGGATTATGCCTGCAGAATTTATCTCCAGGATACGCCTTGCAAGAATATGCACCTGGCTCGTTTGGCCTGTACTGCTTTCCAGGGCACAATTCTTCATCCTTCGTCCAAGTAATGTCTTCCTTACTCGTAGATGGACTTATGTCCTTATCAGCCATTTGTCGAATAGCACACGAGCAAGGCGGAACATTTTTGATGGGCTGAGGTACCGAAGCAACTTGATTAATTAATGATTTTGAAGGATTCTGTCCTAAAGATTGCACTGCCATCGAATCTGCGATATGTCTGTCACAAATAACATCTCTTTTTGTATTTTATTTTATTACACTATTTTTAAAATTTTAATTTTTGGAATTCTATAATTTTTTTTAAGTTTTAGAGATAGAAAGTATTACCAGATTAAAAAGCATTAGATTAAAAAGAAATGTCAAAATTTTAAAACCCAAAGTTTTAAGAATTTCAGAATTCTAAATTTCTAAATTAGAATTGGAATCAAATATTTTCAAGATATCAATACATATTCAGACAAGAATTTGGAAATTAATATTAGAATTGCTTATAATTGCAAACAATTCAATTGGACTGGTCGTAAAAGTTAAATCAAATTATAATAAGCGTTGCAGATTATTTAAATGTCCAATTAAGTTGTCTAATCTAAAATTATCTCAATTTAACCTTTATAATTGTCTCTTACGTATTTTTCTCTTTATCTTGCGCAATTAACATCTTGTTAATTTTGCTTTGTTGCAATTTTTCGTCAAACTTTTTAGTCTGTCGGCACGAGCAGCAACTATCACAAACGAGTCCAGGAAATGCTGATTTTATGGTTGCCTGTACACTCTTGATTAACTCATCAGTTTCTTCCTCCAATTGTCTGTAGCTTTCGTCAGCGTTTTGTAACCAATCTTGCCAATTCATTGACAGATTTTCTCTACCACTAGGAAAAACCTTTTTGGTCTGATCGTCAAGTTTCAGCACTGCGAAGAACCTTTCGTTGCTGTTGCTAGGTGCCACATTGACCACACCTGCGATCTCGTAAGTTACAGGACAATCATCCTCGATAGACACGCCAGCTATCATGTAATCAGCGTCTTTCTTTCCCAGCCAGGAATTTTGACCCGCTGGAGGTTTTGGCGGTCCTAAAATTTTACCGAAGAAAATTATGAAATTTAGCATATCATTTTCTAACGGCACATTTTTATACATTTAAAGAAAATTATAAAGTTTAACGTATAATTTTCTAATTTATACGTATGGATTATTATATTTTTTGTTATATGAATTTCCTATTTTCAATTTTAAAAAGCAATAAAATTTCAATAGTTTATACCGTAAATTTTATTTTCTACAGTTTCAGATTTTTTCTTAATAAAATCAGATGTTTTGCCGTTGTCTGACGATTGAAGAATATTGAAACTTGCTGATTTTCCACCTTCCAAATTTTTCTCTTTTGAGGAATCTATATCTTTTTTAAGTTTTACTTATGTTTAATAATATTCATTTACATCTATTTACGAGTATTGATTTTTTGATAAATCTATATTTAATTATATTGTATTGTCAAAATACACGAGCTAATTCCTATGCTTAAAAGTCCACATATTTAATTTAATTTATATATTTCTACCTTCTTGATCACATGTAATTAAAGAAATTTTTTGCAATTCCTTCGTAGTAATTTCTTCGAGATGCTCCGTGGAAATATCTTTCGTCCGTTTTTTAATTTCTGATCTATCATTGAAAAAATACTCGTTTACATAACCATATTTGTTCAGCGGCAAGATCACTTTCGGAATTGCAATTAATTTGCAATGTTTTCGCCATTTCTGCAAAGCATTTCGATAACCGGCCCAATCGGGTCGTGTAAATAATTCTTCCTTATAAGGACAACTATCTTTTCGCCTCGTCAGATATGTTACTAGTTTTGCTAAAATATGTATTCGTTGTTGTGAGAGTAATAATATCTATTTATTTTTTAATAATAAATAATTGAGAAATAATTAATTATTGATGTAATTAATGTAATAATGGTAATAATTATGGTAACAAATACTTAACGATAGCTGATTGAACTTCTTAATAATATTTGTTAATTATAATTATATATTATAAAATTACGTTTTGGTGGCAAACTTGGCATAGTTACTGCTGGCAATCTCTTATGTAGTTCCCATACCGTTTCTGGCAGTGTTAAAAATGCAATGGCCGACAATATTATCCTCTCGTTGCAATCATAAACTTTCTCTATAAATTAAATAATTCTATAATTTTCTCTATAAATAATTCTGTTGTTAAGAACAGTAACTTTATTAATTGTTTAATTTTTATTTTGAACAGAAACAGAATGAGACGTACTATATCCCTCTTCGGAGAAATCATTTCCCGTTAAGATTCTGTAAATTTCCCGTAGAAAATCGACGCTATTCAAGTTGCACAATTTATGCAACTCTTTTATAGTACTCGGTTTTAATTTAAAGAATGTTGAAATTACGCCGATAGCTATCAGTGTCGTTTGCGTGTCATTTGTCTTTTTTTCTTCATAATCGGTGCGCATTACATTTTCCAGTTTCATTAAATTCCTCATCTATAAATTATATAACTTAATTTTATAAAATATATAAAGAACATCATGCAACTATGTTACTTTAATCAATAATCTCTTGAATGTCAAGATCAAGAAACAATATTTCACTTAATAAGAGTATAATTTTGCTATCTTAGAAAAAATCTTCTTTCGTCATATTTTAATTGATTTTTATTTGTCGAAATAAAATTTGTTTGAGATCACTCATTTTTACGTCATACTTGATCTAAGGAAAAATCTTGATACCATCGTGGATACATCTTCAGTTTTAGTGAATGTTTTTTGTCTATAAAAAAAGGATAATAATATTTTAATTAGATGTATGTCTATTAATTAATTAAGACACAATTACACACATATAAAAATTTAATTAATTAATAATTTTGTATTAACGATTTAAGAGCAAATTTTTATTGCAGACGCGGCGACATAATGCACTTTATTCAATAACGCATGAGGAAATATATTTCGATTGCATTTTGCAATGTCAATGGTGTATCCGGACAGCATAAGGAAAATTTCAATATATTATTCCACCTTAGTTTAAAAAATGTAAGCATTTATGCAAAAAAATTCACATTTGCCTGTATTGCATTTTTTTAAATACCTATTTTTTAACGCTATAATTGTTTTAAAATATTTCTTTATTTATTCCAATCCGATCTTGTATTCTTATTTACTGTTAGAAGACATAAAAATTTTTATCGGATAGATAATATGTGAAATATATTTGAAAAATGGTCATTTCACTAATTGATGACATTTTTACTCTCGAGGCTTGAATGAAGAAGGCTTACGTTTTTTCTTTGCTATTTTTATCGCCTTGTTGCTTGTTTCTTTGTACATTTTTTGTCTTTCCTTCCAGAATATATCCTTTGCCAATGCAATTTCACTCTCCAGATACCGTTTTATAAAACGATTGTTTCTACCGATCAAGGAATAACTTAATTCACGATTTTTCGTTTGTCGTTGCTGATCCCCCACGTCCGACGTTCTTGTTTTCGGTCTTTTCTTCTCTCGGGATAATCGAGGCATGGAGAATTTCATTTGCATTTTAGCTACCGGACACTCATGTACGGATGTTATTGCCGTTAGCGAAGACTTGTAGGGCGGCATTCGTTGATCGTATCGCGAGAGAGGATCGAAACGATCCACAGAACAGCAAAAGCCGAATGGCTTCAGCCTTGAATTTTTTTTCGGCCATTTTTCTCGAGAAGTATCTGATAAATAATCACTTTTCCTTTTGGATGTCGGCAAGCTAAGATATGAAGTTATTTGTTTGGTATTGACAGAATTAACGCGAATTATATACATTATATACATCAAATTAATTAAGGAAAAGAAAATATTTTTTACAGTTGACAAAAAAAAATTAAAATTACATATAAAATATTAATTATATTAATGTGACTCTACGTTATTAATAATCTTTAATTTGATGTTTTTATAATTCTAACGGCACTAAATGTTTACTTTATATGTTGGAGCGAAAATTGCGTGCTGGAGGTCTTTAAAGAGATTTTAGACATTTTTGAAGCAGAAAACTTGATTCTCATTAATTTTAGAAAATCTATTCTAGTTCATATATATTGATTCTCATTGAGTCCGGAAAATTTTTTTCTGGATTAAGTTAATTTTTTGTAATTAATACTTGTCAATTTATAAATGGTGATAAGAAACGTAACTAAAATTTAATAGGTTGTGTTTGAATAAAATTGAGTGAATTTAGAATAAAATTTCGACCTTATTTTGTTTACAAATAGGGCTTATTTTAAATGAACGATATTTATTGTGTCAGATTTCAGAGTATCTGTTTATAATTTTATTGACGATGTAAAGCCTATAATTTTTTAATTATATACCACATAAATACGAAAAATATTTGAAGAGAGAGAATATGTTATAAATAAAATTCTATGAGTATCTTAACATATTTGATGTTCAAATTAAATTGTAAATCGTCTATTTAACACTTTCCTTAATACAATGTAATCTTGTAATCAATGTAATAATCTTTTTATTTAATACTTAAAATAACCTTAATTATTTTAATTAACAAATTTTCGAAAAATTAAAGTAACATTTTATAAATTAGCGATTCATAATCTGAGGCACGAGTAAAGTGAAAAAAATAAATATAATAGTTGTAGGTATTATATACAATTAGATCTTATGATAGACTAATCGCTAGTCCAATAGTTGTATTTAACTGATACTCTACAGTTCAGGAAAATCAAGGAAAACCGGAGTACGCGTGTAACTTATACGTCATCAATCACGTGATCAATTTCGACAGACATGTGCTCTGTTGGTCAATAAGACCTCTGTTGGTCAATAACAGATAAATTATTAAAAATATTTATTATTAAGCAACATAACTATATTTGTAAAATATTTATAATAGTTTAATATAAAATAATACATTGTAATAATATAGTTTTATACAATTTTATATTTATTGGAACACTACATACAGAATTTTAGGTTTTTTGTGTAGTTTTTCATTGACGTGCATTAAATATTGATATTTCTGTGGGAAATCGACTCAAGATACAACAGAGTAATTTTCTATCTGTAAAATGTAATATCTGTTACAATATCTACTATTACAGAAGATTTCTTCCCATTAATTTTTATCGTTCTCTTTTCCCAAAAGGGATCTAACGATTCTCCTTATCGTAGATAGGTATGTGACTGGTCCGATAAGCGTCTGCTAATGCTCGCTTCACTGCGCATGTAATTGTCAGTTTGGTATGGTCGTCCGTATGTAGTAAACGTGGTAACGTTTGTGAATGTAAGCAAATTGTGGTAATCGTTGAAAACGATGATGTTTGGCAAATCTTTGTTTTTCGAGAATGATTCACTGCATTAATTCACCGTCGCGCTCTCGGCTACTCATCGATATTTGCTCCTCCGCGAAAAAGCAAATGTGTATTTTTGCCCCTTTGCGATTGCATTTTGGCAAGTCTCAACGGAGGATTCGCTTGACATTCTAACCCGAAGTGTTGAATAAAAATTCATTGTAATACGCTTAATATTAAAATAAAATTGATCAGATGTGTGCGAAGTAATAGATAATGATAGGTTACATGAAATACAACTGCCGGGATTAAATTTAATAGACGAAACGCGATGGCGATAAAATTTACTCCAATATCTTATTTACTCCTTTTAACTTTTTTACAACATTATAGAGAGATTAAATTCGAGATTAGCGTATCGTTTCTTGCTTTATAGAATCTTTAAGATTTAAGAAGATTGCAAATCGCCAGTTTGTTTTGCTCGTGTTAAGATAACACTCTGATCTTTCTTAGCCAGCAATTTGGCTAATCCGATGCGTTATCTGCTTGAGCCAATTCAAGCTCACTTAAGATCATTATTCACGTTTATCTCTGACAATACACAGTGACATTCCGTCGACGGTGCAATAAAACTGTTGAGTGCAGTGCAATTGTCAAGAGCTTGCGACATGCCCAAAGACGTAAAAATTGTGATTGTCGGAGCGGGCGCAGCTGGCATTGCTGCTGCCTCGAGGCTGTTGCAGAGAGGAGTGAACGATTTTGTGATACTGGAGGCCAATGATAGGATCGGTGGCCGAATATATACCAAAAACTTTGGTAAATAATAATTCCTCAACTTAATCTTGCCTCAATGAGAATTTTAGCTTTGCATATTATCTTTGATAATGAACTATAAGTTTCTATTTTGAATCCTTAAAACTTTGAATATTTTGGAAAATTTTGATTAAAATTTTTATATTTTCAGGTGAAAATGTGGTAGATCTCGGAGCTCAATGGGTCCATGGACAAATTGGAAACGTGGTGTTCGATCTTGCCTCCAAACATGATCTGCTGAGTTCATTCGACGCTCTCTTCGATCCTAGCAATCATGAATTTGTCACCATTAAGGGTGAAATAATGCCCTGCGAGGAAAGCAGCGAAGCTCTGACGATTTATTATAATATTCTGGATAAAGCAAAGAAGGAAGAATTTAAAGAGGAAAGAGGATCTTTTGGAGATTATTTAATACGAGAGTAAGTACATTTGTTCGTGTTCAGGATTAAGAATATATATTAATTAATTGTAATACAAATTAATTAGAAAATAAACAATATGTTTGTTAACAGAAACACATCAGTAGGCTATACAAAGGTCTTACAAAAGTTACATTTTTTAATAGCTGTTCAAATATATCTATCTAAGCTCTATCCAATAGAACTTTTAAGTCCTAAATTTCAAATTTAACTTATTCTTAGATCACAATGCTTTTTATGAAAAAAAAACTCGATACATTATAGATTTGAGAAGGTTTTTAAAAGATATGAGCTATTAAAAGTTGTTCAAAATTTTTATTTTCTAATCGGGAGTCTAAGCACTTATGGTCATCAAATTTTATGGAAGAGAATATTATTCACAAAATTTTCGATATCACTTTCTCGAAACCATGCTTGCAACGTGGGATGCAGATTTGATCGCACAATCGTATAAACATCTTTATCAGGCACGATACATCTGATAACAGAAGCAAAAGCAAGTTAACAAAGGCAGTTGTTCTACATTCTGTATACTTTCATATTACCTAAACAAATATAAGCGATATTCTATCATGAATACCTATCAAAAATCTGCCGTAGATTTGTTATCTACTAATTTCCTATCAAGGATTTATCAATTTATACGTACCTCACACGATTGTTGGAGCATTGATTCCTCATGTATTCGTATCTCAACAAAGAATATATGTACTTCAAGTACTTGGTATCCAAACTGTTATGCATCTGTTCATATGTTTTGACAGGATTATTGATACTTTCGATGTACCTTTTTGTTAATATTGGAATAACATAATCGACCTAAAAATAGATTAATTTATAATTTTAATATTAGTTAAGTTTAAAAGAAAGTATAATGAAATAATTTAGAAAAAGAATAATCAAGTTGTTCAAAAAATTAACTTCAATTTTTCAGAAAGACCTAAAATTTAATTCTCCATAATGGAGATTGAATAAAAGGCTTAAAATCTCTTTTCATAAAAATTGCAATTGTAATAAAATTAGAAGAAATTCCAAGTCCTCATAGGACTGCTTCTCTCCAGCAGGTCAAGAGCTTCGACTATAAAAAAAAAAAGAAATTAATTTACCTGCTTGAAACAATCGTCTATAAATTCTTCAGCTCGACTATAGACTTGTTTCTCTTGCTCTTGCAATATAAGCACGCCGATTCGCGGTTGTTTGGACCTGAATATTTTCATGATGCACTCAGCGGTTGGCAAACCGTCATCAGCGAAAGTCAACATAACTATACAGCCATACTTTTGTTCATGCTGATACGATAAAGGTTAATATTTAAAAAACATTAATTTAAAATCTTGCTTTTTGTTAAGAAATTTTCATGAATATTATGGTTGAGCAACCTTTTTCTGCTGGTCATCTTGTAGTGCGTGCATTGATTCGCTTTCTTTCATTCCCGTGGTTTTGCATTCTACTGTCAAAATGGGACATAGAACTAATGGTGCTCTTGGTATATGTCCAGGCTGAATGATTTCAGATCCTAAATATATAAAACAAATAATGTAATGACATATAATTATTATATTTTTTAAAATATATTTTCTAAATTTATTAACTTGAATATGATTCTATAACGGTAGAAAAAGAAAGTTACTGTTCTTTACTTTACCATCGTGGCTTATGACATTTTGTGACGCAGCATTGACTAGATCATGCACATAATCTTTAATTTGATTTATCACATCGAGTCGTTGCATTTTTTGCAAAGCACTCAAAATTTTGTCCATTGTTGCTTCCGGAGATTGCACGTAAGTTAAAAGAACGTAATATGTTGGATCCTGGAGTCCTTTGAAATCATAATCTATACACTAGGCAATAAAATGACATTATAATATATTATACTTTTATTATTATTATTATTATTATTATAAACGTATGAGTTAGCTTAAATCTGCATACTTATTACAAGTGTCATATATATGTCTAGTAATCTCACGCGTATTTGCTCCATCGTCAAGCCCATGTGTGCTCCAAATTCTTGCCATCCATCGTAGATCTTCCCTGTTGCTGTAGAGCTCAGCAACAAGCACAGTTTCTGTAGCGTAGCTTTGCCAATATGCTCGAACAAATACGCAGCGTGAATGCGCGATGCTTCTTTCTGGATATTCACAATGGTCATATCTAAGTTTGGTGGTCCGTTCACTTCGTTCCTCAGCTCCTCCAGCTCCGGATCTATTTTCCTAGAATTGGCGTCTTCCATTGAACATTTTCCTCAAGATGACACTCCCAATTGCGCGTATTCAGTAATTAAAAATTCTAAATTTGTAAGAACTTAACTTCCATTGTCCTTTATGATAATAAATTCACTTGTATGATTATAAAATTAATACTAACATATAATAGAGATTTAGATATATTGTTACCTTTTTGCAAACATTTTACTGTCTCTCGCTTAATTAACAGTAAAAGTTTTTGTCGAAAGTAATCAGTGGGATTTGATTGCATTACTGCTGTGGTTGCTCCTGCAATGATTTATGGAGACTATATGTACATATATAATACATTTCCATGATTAAAATATTTTAAAGATCTATATAAAAAAATATAGATCTCAAGTTAAACAACTTAGTCTATTAGAGTCTAAATATCACTATTAGAGGCTATGCTTTCCTCATATGTGACTGAATGATTGCAACAAGCTGCTGGAGTCAGCAGTTAGACGTCAGTTAGTGCATCCCCACCACAATTTGGTACAAGGTTGATGATTCATCACCTTGCCATCTACCCGCCTAAAATTTGAAACAGACAAAATATGAACTATAAAAACTCTTGCCTTTTTTCAACATAATTTGCCAATAATTTAATAAATTTTCCAAATAATCTTTTTTTGGATACTCACATATAAGCACACTGCATATAATAAAACACAAAATTAATATATGTTACTTAATAGAGTGATACTTCATAAAATATTATAACAATCGAGAGAATGAATGGTAGTTAAAGATAGATAAAAAAGATAGATAGAAAAGATAGATAAAAAAATTTATAATTTATTTAATTATTTTATACATTTATTTAATATTTAGGATAAAATATTGTATAAAGATATAAACCAAATTATTAATGTTATAATAGTTGTATATTATGATTAATGTAATAAATTAATTTAATTATTATATTAATGTTCTAGATATTATAAAAAATTTGACGAAAAACCTTTCACGACTCGTACTCGAGTTGCTGAATATCTATCTTGGATAGAAAAGATGGAAAACTCTATACAATGCAGCGACACATGGTTCGATGTGTCTGCAAAGCGTTTGACAGAATATTGGGAATGCGAAGGAGATACTTTGATGAATTGGAAGGAGCGTGGTTATAAAACGATTTTTGATCTGTTATTGGTAAGAAATTATACAATACTTTATGATCGGAAATCGCGTTGCACAAAAAGTAACGTTTTACGAAACGCTGAAGATGTCAATGAAATTTTAAATATATTCTATCAACGAAAAAATTAGCAATCACTATTTGAAAATGAAATTAATGTTCAAGTGTATAATAAATTTTTGATGCATTTTTAATAACTTTTATTTTTAATAAAATAATATATGATCAATAAATATCTTGTTTATTATTTTTTCCTAATCACGTATATGTAATTATTTTCCCAGCAAAAGATTCCAAATGCAGAGGAATGTTTGCCAGTGATGGAAAAGATAGAGTTCGGTAAAGTTGTGGCAACTATCAATTATAGTTCAGGCGAGAATGTGACGGTGATTACCAGAGATGGTTGCGAGTACTCGGCATTGCATGTTATATTTACTGGGTCTCTAGGTGTTTTAAAGGAGAAACATGCCTCGATATTCGTGCCACCTTTGTCGCAGAAGAAACAACACGCGATAGAGGTTTTATTAATAATATAATACTGTAAAATAAAACATGACATTATTTTACAATTAATATTAACATCATTATATTATCAGGGATTAAATATTGGAACGGCGAACAAAGTTTTCCTCGAATTTCCGTACAGATGGTGGCCAGAGGGTAAAGCCAGCTTTGATTTTATTTGGTCGAAAGAAGATGAGAAGGAATTTTTGCAAACCTATGGTCAAGTAAGCAAACATTTGTATATAATTTTACCCAAGTTTAGAGATTATAGCGAACAATAATTTATTATTGAAAATCAATTTCGACGATTTTTTTGTCTTTTAATCAATCTCGTCAAATATTTGTTTTAGAATAGCGAGTGGCTCTGCGATGTGTTCTCGTTTTTCACTGTGGCTTATCAGCCGAATCTTTTATGTGCTTGGATAGCTGGCAGAAACGCGAGACATATAGAAACCTTATCAGATGCTGATGTATTTGACGGATTGTATTTATTATTACAAAAATCATTGGAAAATCGTTGTAATGTTGTGAAGCCAACAAAAATGTTAAGGTAATTTTCCATTGGAAATAATTGAAAAAAAAAAAAACAATTAGATTATAAAATTTAAAATTTCTTTTTTAAAACTTTTAGGTCTAAATGGTATACCAATGAACATTTTCGAGGCTCGTATAGTTTTCAAAGCATGCTTTCCGAGCAGATGGATGTAAAACCGAGAGATCTAGCCGAACCAATTATGACTGGAAACAAACCTGTACGTAATCCCAAAATAAAATTATTATAATATTTTTAATTATTATGCAAATTATTGTTTGAAATATATAATTAATCTAATAATCTTCTCATCGTTTATTTCATGTTAGTTTCTTATTTTGATAATAATATCCAAGATGTGCTCGTTTCTTTTTAGCTTTTTAGTTTGTATACATATGTATTTCTATCTTATGTACGTTTTTTTATCTGTAGAATCGTATTATAAAAGAAAGACTATTACAAATATTAATGAAACGAATCATAATTAGGTAATTCTTTTTGCTGGAGAAGCTACACATGATCATTATTATTCCACTGTGCATGGCGCCGTAGAAACTGGTTTCCGTGAAGCGAATAGATTAATCGATTTTGAAAGGTAAGATAATATCAATTGAAATTCATTTGCAGCTTGGTATCAAAAGCAATGAACACAGCATCATAATACAACTACAATAATGCTCAAATACATTTTGATCATTTTATTTAATGGAAGACGCTTCAAAAAATTACAAAAGATTGAGTCTTTAAATATTTTTTCTCGAAAAAAATATTTTATCTTTTTTTTTTATTGAAACTTATGTTTTTCAAATTATAAATTTTCAATTTTTTCCAGTTTAATAAAATTGAATGAAAAAAAGGGAGTGATCTGTTAAGTAAAATTTAATTTATAAAGATGTACAATCTTGTGTAATGCACAATGTATTATATGTAAATTAATAATTTTTATCTACTTATATTTGCTGTTATTGCACAATTTCATTTTGCGTTTTATGTTATTATGCTTATCAAACTTTGAGTCGTATATATTTTATTTTGCATGAGACTTAATAGAAGACTTCTCTGCTTATGTGTTGTTACTTTTGAACATATCTATTTCAAATCGTGCACAAATAATTTTGCAGTTATATTTATATTGATTGCATGCATTTTTCTTAGGCAATTAAACTCCCATCTCTAACTACATCTTCTGCAACTACAACCTTGTAACGAATGGATTACGGAAAACTAAAAATGTGTTTGCAATTTGCAATGTTCGCAACAGGCGAATATTTTTAAGATATGAGCGACTACAGGGTACTTGTTTGTAAGATTTAAGCATTTGTATAAAAATACATTGTATATTATGATAAATTGTAAATTTTATGTAATATTTGGGAAATTTTATTGAAATATATGTCACAACATTAACGGAGAAATAATATTCGTATTTGTAAGAATTTATTTATTGTATTTATTATTTATATGTAGTTATTATTCTCGTGTTTCCTGTGTTGTAGGCCATTACTGCATTGAGAATATCTTTAAATAAATTGTGCAATTTATTTATATGTAGCTCTTATAAAATAGAATTATGACTTAGAATAAACTTACAGAAAATCAGCAAACAATATATGTGTATGTGTACATGTATGTTAATGATTGCGTTTAACAGAAGAATCAGTATTGTAACTGTTATAAGATTCTGTATTGTTGATCCACAATAAGGATTTTGCTTCACATCTTAAGATATTGACCAATTATAACTGATTATTCTCCTCATATTAGACTACGATTGGTCTATTTCTTACTTCTTAGGGTTTAAAATTCTCATTGTAGACCGATACCTCATATGATTTGTTTTTGCCCTTAGTGCCTCACGGATTTAAATATAAACAAATCGTATTAAAGTATCTTGAACAACAGTTTTAAAGCTTCTTCTGCTTAACGCAGCCTATGTGAGATATATTAGACTAATTATTTTGCATGACATAGAACGTGCAATCGCTTAGATCAACTGATAGACAACTTCGACAAAGCGTTGCGGATAGAGATTGACACGAGCGCGAGAAGAATGGAAAGGACGAAGGTCGTGATAGTAGGCGCAGGAATTGCAGGATTGGCGGCAGCGAAAACTTTGGAGGATGCCGGATTCACGGATTATCTTCTTCTCGAGGGTACGCACATGATATCTTAAGAATTTATTTAATCATTCATTCGATTTGATTCGTTTAACAAATCTTTAAGATAATCTATAATATAAATAAATAGTAGAACGAAAGCTTACGAGTATATTCGTATTATTAATTAAGTATTAATTTCGTATAATGATGACTGTTAATTTGTCTCTTCAATGCGTTTGACATTGACAATTTAATAACAATATTGTCTTATTAAACATTCTTTTTCGACCTCTTAACGTCGGTCATCATCAGTGTTTTAAATAATGTCGTTACGCAAATTATAAACGTTAAACACTCGCTGCTTATTATATGTCGGTTGACTCCTATAGTAGAATTTCTTGTTCTCCTGTTGTCGTTCGTTGGATGGAAACCGCCAATGCTTTTATAATTTATTGGAATCTTATAATTGTCGCTTTTTTTTACAATGGTCTCATTTTTTGTTTGAGTTTATCAAAAAATTGAAATTATGCTAAGTCATGTTGGTAATGTAAATGTATGATTGTCTGTCACAGCGTCTTTTAATTTCTGTGGTTGAAAACGATATGGTATATTTAATAAGACAATATTATTAATGTCAAACGTATTGAACAGATAAATTAATAGTCACAATTATACGAAATTAATATAATACTTGCAAAACTAATATATATTACTAATATATAACTTGCAAAAATAACTAGCACGGCCCATTAGCCCCCTATCTAATTGAATTTAGCAAAATATATCTGATTGTGATTAAAAAAAAATAAATAAAAATTCCAGGATTATCCTATGTTATTCCACAGCTCAAAACGTAGTTGGAGGAAGAATTCATTCTATTTCATGGGGTAACGGCTGGATAGATTGCGGTGCGCAATTTTTACACGGTGACAAGAGCAGGCTTGCTCAGTATTGTATCAACAACGATTTACTATCGAACATTCAAGGTACGGACGGCGATGGAATTTTCTTACGTGATGATGGAACGGTAATGAGCGAAAGCTTGGTTCGCGAAGTCGACGACCTCGTGCGAACCGTCTCGGACGAACTCTGCGAATCTCAAAAACCTCTGAAGAGACTGGAGAATATTGGTTCAGTCATGAGAAGTAGATTTGAGGATCATTTACACGAGAGAAACGATTCACCGACGGAGAGGATGATGAAGGAGGAAATTTTCGATTGGAACATGCGGTTTCTTCTGGTGGATAACTGCTGCCACTCGTTAGACGATTTATCGGCGATTCTTTGGGGAAAATTTAAGGTAAACTGAATTTTAAAGAAATGTTACAAAAATAAGCACTGCGTATAACAAAAACAATTTCCACAGTATGTCGGCGGTCCGGAACATTTGCTCTTCAAGTCTGGCTACAGTTCTTTGACGAATCATCTCGTTGGCAGTCTGGATAAGCGAAAGGTGCGTTTGTCCACCCCCGTGGAGGCCATTCACTGGAAAGACTCCGTCAAATCTCCGGACGATTCTCCGATTACCGTGAAAACTTTCGAGGGTACTCAAATCATCGCCGATGCGGTTATCGTCACTTGCTCGCTCGGCTATTTGAAGGATAATCATCGGAAGATGTTCCAGCCGCAGTTACCGAGTCGTCTGAGTGTCGCTATTGAGAATCTTGGTTTCGGAACGATAAACAAAATTTTCCTGGACTTCGGCGAACCTTGGTGGCAAAGGGGCGTGAATGGTTTTCAATTACTCTGGCGCAGGGACACCGATCACCAGTCCTTGCCGGAATGGACCAAGGATCTCACAGGATTCGACGTTCTGCCGATTCATCCGGCCACTCTTATAGTGTGGGTCGGTGGGCGAGGGGCATGCATCATCGAGGAAATGTCGGAGGAGACGATCGCGCAAGATTGTATGAATTTGTTGACGCGATACGTGCGATATCGCAATATTCCGCCGGTGAAAAAATGCGTCCGAACTAAGTGGAACGGGAATAAGTACGTGAGAGGCGGTTACAGTCACATCACGAAGAGCTGCGAGGAAGATGACATATCGCCTAGAACGTTGGCCGAACCAGTCTGGGCGACAATATGGCAAAATGACAAGAAGAGGAAAAAAGTGAGATAATCGTACAATGCATTTTATTTAGCATTTTTTAAATATTAAATTTAAGATTTTATAATTCCATTTTTAAGCCTTTTGATATTTTGATTATATAGTTAAGATAATGCAAATTAAGTTATGCAAAAATAGATTTAAGAAATAAATCAAAATTGAGATTGTAAAACGCCTACACGGTACAAAACGAATCTTGGTGCTTCTATATAATATTAGTGTGAATCTTACAATTTTCAGTTCATACGTGGTGAAGCACGCGATTTGCAGCCACGTGGTGTTATATGATTCGAAAATTGTAAGATTTACACTAATATTATATAAAAGCATCAAGATCCGCTTTGTCCTGTGTAGGCGTTTTATGATCTCAATTGTTTGTTAAATTTCATAGTCTTTCTTGATATTTAAATTAAAATTGATTGTAAAATTGAATTTTGGAAATATAGCAGAATCTACCAATCATACTATTCGCCGGTGAAGCTACGCATGACGAGTTCTACTCGACGACACACGGAGCTTACGAGACAGGAATCCATCAAGCTGAAGTATTTTTGCAACATTACACAACTATCAAATAAATATATATATGTTGATATGTAAATATATATATATATAATATAGTGCAATAAAAATTTTTGAATATTCGCATAATGAGGCATTTTTCTGCTTATCACAAAGCCGATTAATAATAAACCTTTCGTTTATTTTATGTATGTGTTTATATTTTCTGTAAAAATAATTAATATAGTTTATTAAATGTCAATTAATTTGCAATTTATTTATTATTAGATAACTTTTATTTCTTTTATTATTACTTGTAGTTCTTCGCACAACTCAGTCTGTACTTTTACGTATTTTTACGTTTTATTGTACAAGTGTGATATTTTTTTATATTTCTGGTTGATCATATCGAATCGACTTTTTTTATTCTTATCTTATCTATTTTTGCGAAATACACTAACTGTTATTCGCTTGCGTCAGAATTAAAGATACTGATTCTATAATTGATCAATCAAATGTTGATCAAAAGCAAATATTATAGTGCTTACTTAGCACATTTATTTTTACAAATAAATTATTTCAAGTGTCAGACGCCGATTTATTTTATACTTTGAATTTTGATTCGATAACAAAAGATGATTTTTCATGTTAAAATTAATTGCTCAATATTAATTGTTGCGCTTATACATGACATTTTATTTTTATAATAAAATAAAATACTTCAGAAATAACGCATTTCTCTCAAAAATGTTTCAAACAAAAGTTGCTTGGTTTCGAAGAACATGTAAAATAGTGATCTTCATTAGAATAAAGCAACAGAGTAAAAAAGAAATTGATTTAAAAAAATTATATAATATATATTATTTGAAAAATTTAGTTAACGTTAATAAGATCTTTGTTAATAAGAAACTTCTAGATTAAATGAATCACTATTTTACATGTTCTTCGAAACCAAGCAACTTTTGTTTGAAACATTTTTGAGAGAAATGCGTTATTTCTGAAGTATTTTACTCCATTATTATAAATATAAGATATTGTGTATAAGCGCTATAGTTAATATTGAGCAATTAGTTTTTGCATGAAAAATCATCTTTTGGTATCTTGAATCAAAATCTAAAGTATAAAATAAATCGGCGGCTGACATTTGAAACAGTTTACTTGTTAGCAAATGTCAGAGGTCAGAGATCGTGCACGATTGTAAAATCTAAATGTATATGTATAAATCAATCGAATTAAAAAATCTTACAACAGTTGCAAAGCTGCTTCTTCTGAACATAGTCTATAATGAGATATATTAGACTAATTAAATTAATTACTTTGCATGGTGCAGAACATGCAATCGCTTAGATCAACTGATTGACAACTTGGATAAAGCGTATATTTTTACTCAAAATATTGCGTTTTCAATATACACTAGCATTACAGACGCGCGCTTTGCGCGCGCTATTTAATTGCAATTTTACTTTTTATTATAATTGACTGTAATTATACATCATTATTTAACATAATTATACATTATTACTTCAATACAACTATCAAAAGTCAAGGTAATGACAGCCGCTTTGCCGCTTACGAAGTTAGCGCAGCGAGAGAATCAATCAACGTCGCGGAAAAGAAACAATAATCAGCCTCTTCAGCACAATCGAATGGGACTTGCGTAGAAATTATCTCCTGTTT